AGAACAAAAATGGCAATGACACAGGTCAAACGTTTTCTGTACACTGTTGCTGGTATTTTGGCCCATTCCTCCATGCAGATCTCCTCTAGAGCAGTGATGTTTTGGGGCTGTCGCTGGGCAACACAGACTTTCAACTCCCTCCAAAGATTTTCTATGGGGTTGAGATCTGGAGACTGGCTAGGCCACTCCAGGACCTTGAAATGCTTCTTACGAAGCCACTCCTTCGTTGCCCGGGCGGTGTGTTTGGGATCATTGTCATGCTGAAAGACCCAGCCACGTTTCATCTTCAATGCCCTTGCTGATGGAAGGAGGTTTTCACTCAAAATCTCACGATACATGGCCCCATTCATTCTTTCCTTTACACGGATCAGTCATCCTGGTCCCTTTGCAGAAAAACAGCCCCAAAGCATGATGTTTCCACCCCCATGCTTCACAGTAGGTATGGTGTTCTTTGGATGCAATTCAGCATTATTTGTCCTCCAAACACAACGAGTTGAGTTTTTACCAAAAAGTTCTATTTTGGTTTCATCTGACCATATGACATTCTCCCAATCCTCTTCTGGATCATCCAATTGCACTCTAGCAAACTTCAGACGGGCTTGGACATGTACTGGCTTAAGCAGGGGGACACGTCTGACACTGCAGGATTTGAGTCCCTGGCGGCGTAGTGTGTTACTGATGGTAGGCTTTGTTACTTTGGTCTACTTATCTCCCGAGTGGCGCAGTGGTCTAAGGCACTGCATCGCAGTGCTAGCTGTGCCACTAGAGATCCTGGTTTGAATCCAATTGGCCCAGCGTCGTCCAGGGTAGGGGAGGGAATGGCCGGCAGGGATGTAGCTCAGTTGATAGAGCATGGCGTTTGTAACGCCAGGGTTGTGGGTTCGATTCCCACAGGGGGTAGGAAAAAATAAAAATAAATTATGCATTCACTAACTGTAAGTCGCTCTGGATAAGAGCGTCTGCTAAATGACTAAAATGTAAATGGTCCCAGCTCTCTGCAGGTCATTCACTAGGTCCCCCCGTGTGGTTCTGGGATTTTTGCTCACCGTTCTTGTGATCATTTTGACCCCACGGGGTGAGATCTTGCATGGAGCCCCAGATCGAGGGAGATTATCAGTGGTCTTGTATGTCTTCCATTTCCTAATAATTGCTCCCACAGTTGATTTCTTCAAACCAAGCTGCTTACCTATTGCAGATTCAGTCTTCCCAGCCTGGTGCAGGTCTACAATTTTGTTTCTGGTGTCCTTTGACAGCTCTTTGGTCTTGGCCATAGTGGAGTTTGGAGTGTGACTGTTTGAGGTTGTGGACAGGTGTCTTTTATACTGATAACAAGTTCAAACAGGTGCCTTTAATACAGGTAACGAGTGGAGGACAGAGGAGCCTCTTAAAGAAGTTACAGGTCTGTGAGAGCCAGAAATCTTGCTTGTTTGTAGGTGACCAAATACTTATTTTCCACCATAATTTGCAAATAAATTCATAAAAAATCCTACAATGTGATTTTCTGGATTTGTTTTTCTCAATTTGTCTGTCAAAGTTGACGTGTACCTATGATGAAAATTACAGGCCTCTATCATCTTTTTAAGTGGGAGAACTTGCACAATTGGTGGCTGACTAAATACTTTTTTCCCCCACTGTACTTATTTCCCTCATTAAAATGCAAATCAATTTATAATATTTTTGACATGCGTTTTTCTGGATTTTTTGGTTGTTATTCTGTCTCTCACTGTTCAAATAAACCTACCATTAAAATGATAGACTGATCATTTCTTTGTCAGTGGGCAAACGTACAAAATCAGGCAGCAAAGCATCCCCAAACCATCACACCATCACCACCATGCTTGACCTTTGGTATGATGTTCTTACTGTGGAATGCAGTGTTTGGTTTTCGCCAGGCATTACTGGAACCATGTCGTCTAAAAAGTTGACTCAAGTTTGCCAAAAAGCACCTGGATGATCATCAAGACTCTTGGAAGAATGTTCTATGGACAGATGATTCAAAAGTATAACTTTTTGGACGACATGGTTCCAGTAATGCCTGGCGAAAACCAAACTCTGCATTCCACAGTAAGAACATCATACCAAAGGTCAAGCATGGTGATGGTGGTGTGATGGTTTGGGGATGCTTTGCTGCCTCAGGACCTGGACGACTTGCCTTAATAGAAGGAACCATGAATTCTGCTCTGTATCAGAGAATTCTACAGGAGAATGTCAGACCATCCGTCTGTGAGCTGAAGCTGAAGCGCAGCTGGGTCATGCAGCAAGACAATGATCCAAAACATACAATCAAGTCTACATGAAAATAGCTCAAAAGCAACAAATTGGAAGTTTTGGAATGGCCTAGTCAAAGTCAGACCTAATCCCAATTGTAATGTTGTGGCAGGACTTGAAAACCCACACGTCACTGAGTTAAAGCAGTTCTGCGTGGAAGAGTGGGCCAAAATTCCTCCACAGCGACGTGAGAGACTGATCAACAACTACAGGAAGCATTTGGTTGGAGTCATTGCAGCTAAAGGTGGCACAACCAGTTATTGAGTGTAAGGTGGCAATTACTTTTTCACACAGGGGAATTGGGGGTTGCATAACTTTGTTTATGAAATAAATGAAAATAAATATGTAATTGTTGTGTTATTTGTTCACTTATGTTCCCTTTATCTAATATTAGGATTTGGTTGAAGATCTGATAACATTCAGTATCACAAATATGCAAAAGTAGACAAAATTAGAAAGGGGGCAAATACTTTTTCATAGCACTGTATGTGAGGGTTGGGGTGAGGTGTGACCCAGGTGCGGTGCAGGATATACAGTAGGCAGTAGGCAGAGATGGTGAAACAAGGATCTTTACTGGTGGTCCCGAAGCCAAAATACAAAATAACGGACTTATCACGATAAAAGAAAGGCGGAGCAAATAAGTCTCCAAAAACCGTCTGACAGTCAAAATACGAAATACTACCTAAGACTGAAACAAATAACGAAACAGGGAGAACACTTCTCAAGTACCTGTACATAGATCTCCGATCAGACACTGAGTAGTACTGCTTCATAGAGAAACTAGCAGAGAAAACTGAGCAAGGGAACACAGGGAAGTGAGGGCATAAATACACTGGTGAACCAATAGACACAGGTGACACCAATAGGATGATGATTAGTTCCGACTGTGAGTGAGGAGGTGCCTAAGGTTGTCGGAGGATGACACCTAGTGTGAACTGCGACCCCCTCCTGTAACACATGTTGTTCACTACTCCCCAACACTGGAGATCAGATCCTCCACTGTCAAGGAGCCTGTCTGTATCACTCTGTGTCTTCTGAAATGACAGTCAAATGGGCTATGAATGTCATTACAGGTGTTATTACCAGTAGTATGGCCCTATCCCACACACTGGGACCTTCCAGTTCCATAAATATCCTCCCTCTGAGAAAGGGGAAGTTTGGGGTCCCAGGCAGGAAGGACCTGGGGGGGTTACTGGTGGAGGTGGAAAATGTCAAACATAATGAAATTGTTGAGCGCACCCTCCCAGGGTAATAGGATTTAGAGTGGAAAGTGCCAAGAGGATGGGGAGGATAGGGAGAGGGACTGAACTGTAACCTTGGAGGATTGACAATGTTCTCTCTCCAGAGACAATTAGGAGCTATTAAAAGGACTAAGCAGATGATGAAGGTGTGAATGAAAGGACTGACTGGATGCTGTCTGAATGACAGTCACAATGTGCAGATGGTTGTCATTGCAGACGGAGACTTGTGGGTAATTTGTGAAGATGCCCTTAAACGTGATAAAACAGTTCTGAGGCAGACAGTCCTATTCCTACGCTGGTTCCTTTGTTTCCTTTGTTACATCTAACAATACAGCCCTCAGGGACTTTGAGGGAGTTGGAGGAGATATGAGAATTGATTAAGCGATGCAACACAACATATTGCATGTCCTTGACTCCTTGATTTGATACTCTTACAATAATTACCATCCATATTGGAGGTTATTCAAAGTTAAAATGAAACATACCATACATTTACCATCTGTTCTTTATTGGAATTCATAGCCATTTTCTCAACTACAATGCGTGAAATTCTGTCCTACAAAACACTGGATGTTGCAGTGGCTGATACATAGAGAGCATCCTTGTCAAAACTGTGGGGGAGGAAGTGTAAAAAGACAGTGAAAATAGAGAGAAAAAGCCCTCTCTCTCTCTCTCCACCCCCTCAGTATGGTAATGGATGTATCTCCATGATGAAACCACCTTGCTGTTCTACTTTGTTCTGTTCTGCCAGGGAGTAAGAATGAGAGCTATGGTAACTTACAGTATCTCAGAGTAACCTTGATGCGTTAACTAAGCCTGGACTAGTCATTAGAGTAAACACAACAGCTAGCGTTGGTTGTCCATGCCTGCCCCCTCTCACTGGGAGAGAACAGTTTTGGTCCTAATTAAGTCTATACAACCCTGTGGCAGATTGAGCTACAGCAGAAAATGGCAGAGAGCACTTTTTGTTTCAGCAGGCAGCTGCGTTATGAAAGGGTAATTTTTCTGCGGGCCTTGAGTCCTGACCTTATTTTCCATACTGACGGTAATACAAAGGAACACAAAGTCCCACACACACGCACGCACACACGCGCACATACACACACACACACACACAAACACATACCCAGACCCTGTTAGAGAAACACACTCATATGCACATCAGACATTATCTAATGAACATTATTTAAGAAATCAAATTATTCTGTTTGTTTTTTAACTGAAAGATGACAATTGAGTCTGTGCTGTTTCTGCTGCTTAACAAATGTCACTAATGGGGATGGTGGTGGTGCACTATATTTGCTCATTAGTGCAAAGAGACTGGAGACCCACAACCTTGATCAAGTGGATCTACACTCTACTTCTGAGAACTAATAGAAGCTTTCAGGTTCCATTGTGTCTTTTTGGAACATAAGATGGATAGAGTATGTGATGTGATGTGATGTCCTTTGATGCCTTGTCTAATTGTGATGTTTTTTCCCCTTCTTGCAGGTGGTGACCCTGGGGAAGAACAGCAGAGGCTACCACTACATCCTGGCTAACCTGGTGAGTAGAGTAGCACAACACAAGACAACAATCCTTCTCTCTTTCAGGGGCCCTCTCAAACATTTATTATAAAATGGGATGTGGAATCACTTTAGTTTTCTAAATTTGAACAAACTGTATTTTTACGAACAAATACGAACATACATTAACAGCACAAACTAGAACATTTCTAAGTTTTATGTTTAGCTAGCACCGTTATTCAGAAAACAATACCTCAGAAAACGCTTTCCTTTTTTAACCTGTAAAGGCATTACAGGTGAATCTCTCAATACAGATGAACCCAGTTGTTGGGGACAGATTGTTTGATGCCTGCATGTTGTTGGGTACCTCTGGTTTCACTGCAGGGCTTCGCTAACATGAGCCTGGACAAAGTGTTTGCTGGAGGAGCCAACATAACAGGCTTCCAGATCATCAACCCAGAGAACCCTATAGTCACACAGTTCCTCCAGCGCTGGGAACGCCTAGACGAGAGGGAGTTTCCCGAGGCTAAGGGCACACCACTGAAGGTACAGTACCATGTCAATGTTGTGTGGATGTTTAATTTACAGCATGAAACTTCCATCTCTCTGCCCGTATCTGCTTTTCTACCTTTCTCTCTGACTATCTGTTCAGTTATCTGTGTCTTGCTAATAGTATCAAAGACAGAGCATTTTCACTCACAAAAGAAAAGCTTTTGTCAAATTTAACCAGATAAACTGTCAGTGAGGCAATAGTAAAATCATACTGCTTGTTTATTGCTTGTCATTCAGAAAAGAGGCAAAAATAGGTTTTCTGTTTGAAAGTAGCTACAACAGTATGAACTAGCTTTGGCATATCAGGCAACAACAGACTGCCAATTGCCAATTACTCTTGAATAAAATAAACCTTGAGGCAGAGTGGCAGTGGGCTGTTCAGCTACTGCTGTGCCTACTTTATCATTGATAGACTCATTTTCACAATTTATTCCCTTTTCACATTGTGCATTGTATCTAAGTGTGCTCCTTACACAAACCAAGTACCCTTCGGACTGCTCTCATAATGTCATGATCTGCTGTGGTGGTTGTGTTTCAGTACACGTCGGCGCTGACCCATGATGCCGTGCTGGTCCTGGCAGAAGCCTTCCGGTACCTGCGGAAGCAGAGGGTGGACGTGTCCCGGAGGGGGAGCGCTGGGGACTGCCTAGCCAACCCGGCCGTGCCCTGGAGCCAAGGCATTGACATTGAGAGAGCCCTCAAAATGGTAGGAGGGGTCTTCACAGATGCCCAGGTGTAAAAATATAGTAGTATATTTTGACTAAATCTTGACTATTCTGAATTGAGTTGTTGTGTGAAGGTTATTACGGTTCCTTGTGTCATGGTGTGCATGGCAGGTCCAGGTACAAGGTATGACAGGGAATATCCAGTTTGACTCGTTCGGTCGGAGATCCAACTACAGCATCGATGTGTACGAGATGAAAATAGGGGGGCCCAAGAAGGTAAGTAGAAAGCAGCACAGTGGCTCAACATGCAGATTATAAAACACTTTCTCAAATGTTTTGAGTTCAGAGGGCCATTAAATGAGTAATTGGGAAAAGGTTGCAGGATGTCATACCAGTTCACTTATTTTTTTTCTTTATTCATAACTGAGATTACATGTTAAGATAGCTCAGTTTTATGGACTTTAAATATGAATATTAAAGAAATTACACATTCAATATTTAAGTAATTACACATTAACATGACTCCTTAACATAAGTGTGCGTGTTACTGTATTGCACCGTATGCGCGCAACAGTAATCATTACACAGCTCTGAGCAGGGACCAGGGCAGAGCTTTAAGCTTTATTGGAGTGCCTACAGTAGAACAGCTTTCACCTGTAGCGGCTCCTACACTGGGGGCTGACCTCACCCTGCGTGCTCCCTTTGTGCTCCGTCATAACTGGGGCAGAGGTGGCAGGAGAGGAGATACACCAAGGCTGTCAGGAGTAGTGCTATATTAGCCCGTAACCCCACTACCCCCTACACATACAGTGGGGAAAAAAAGTATTTAGTCAGCCACCAATTGTGCAAGTTCTCCCACTTAAAAAGATGAGAGAGGCCTGTAATTTTCATCATAGGTACACGTCAACTATGACAGACAAAATTAGAAAAAATTATCCAGAAAATCACATTGTAGGATTTTTTATGAATTTATTGGCATATGATGGTGGAAAATAAGTATTTGGTCAATAACAAAAGTTTCTCAATACTTTGTTATATACCCTTTGTTGGCAATGACACAGGTCAAACGTTTTCTGTAAGTCTTCACAAGGTTTTCACACACTGTTGCTGGTATTTTGGCCCATTCCTCCATGCAGATCTCCTCTAGAGAAGTGATGTTTTGGGGCTGTCGCTGGGCAACACAGACTTTCAACTCCCTCCAAATATTTTCTATGGGGTTGAGATCTGGAGACTGGCTAGGCCACTCCAGGACCTTGAAATGCTTCTTACGAAGCCACTCCTTCGTTGCCCGGGCGGTGTGTTTGGGATCATTGTCATGCTGAAAGACCCAGCCACGTTTAATCTTCAATGCCCTTGCTGATGGAAGGAGGGTTTCACTCAAAATCTCACGATACATGGCCCCATTCATTCTTTCCTTTACACGGATCAGTCGTCCTGGTCCCTTTGCAGAAAAACAGCCCCAAAGCATGATGTTTCCAACCCCATGCTTCACAGTAGGTATGGTGTTCTTTGGATGCAACTCAGCATTCTTTGTCCTCCAAACATGACGAGTTGAGTTTTTACCAAAAAGTTATATTTTGGTTTCATCTGACCATATGACATTCTCCCAATCCTCTTCTGGATCATCCAAATGAACTTCAGACGGGCCTGGACATGTACTGGCTTAAGCAGGGGGACACGTCTCGCACTGCAGGATTTGAGTCCCTGGCGGCGTAGTGTGTTACTGATGGTTGGCTTTGTTACTTTGGTCCCAGCTCTCAGCAGGTCATTCACTAGGTCCCCCCGTGTGGTTCTGGGATTTTTGCTCACCGTTCTTGTGATCATTTTGACCCCACGGGGTGAGATCTTGCATGGAGCCCCAGATCGAGGGAGATTATCAGTGGTCTTGTATGTCTTCCATTTCCTAATAATTGCTCCCACAGTTGATTTCTTCAAACCAAGCTGCTTACCTGTTGCAGATTCAGTCTTCCCAGCCTGGTGCAGGTCTACAATTTTGTTTTTGGTGTCCTTTCACAGCTCTTTGGTCTTGGCCATTGTGAAGTTTGGAGTGTGACTGTTTGAGGTTGTGGACAGGTGTCTTTTATACTGATAACAAGTTCAAACAGGTGCCATTAATACAGGTAACAAGTGGAGGACAGAGGAGCCTCTTAAAGAAGAAGTTACAGGTCTGTGAGAGCCAGAAATCTTGCTTCTTTGTAGGTGACCAAATACTTATTTTCCACCATAATTTGCAAATAAATTCATAAAAAATCCTACAATGGGATTTTCTGGATTTTTTTTTCTCAATTTGTCTGTCATAGTTGACGTGTACCTATGATGAAAATTACAGGCCTCTCTCATCTTTTTAAGTGGGAGAACTTGCACAATTGGTGGCTGACTAAATACTTTTTTGCCCCACTGTACTGGCCTGCGATTCTGGCGCTGTCGCCTTCGGCCAGGTGAGCTGAGCTATAGAACAGTACAAGAGGAGAGAAGTAGAATTGAAAATAACAGAAAAGAAGAGAACAGAATACAACAGAACAGAAAAGAAGAGAACAGCAGAACAGAACAAAACAGAACAGATAGAACAAATAACATGTAACTGCTGACATTTTTTAAATCTCAGCAGTTATTGAATAGGTTCACAGACGTCAGATATACATTTTTAGTAGCAGCATACATATAGTATGCTTAATGTTAATACATGAGCAGAAGCCCCTCACTCTGTAAATTGCAACTGAAATTGCTTATTGCTGAATAAGACTAAGTCTTTTTTGCTGGTATTAGTATTGCCAAGCAGCATGCGAGGAGCATTTCATGGGCAGTAATTCATGTTTATGTAAAGGATCTGTGACAGTGCAGCTGCAGTAAGGGTGCTGAGAAGGAGATTAGCTGAAAGTTGAATGCTCTTTTCCCCCACTGTATCTGTAGCAGAGGTTGGAGCGTCATCTCCAAGCACAGCGCCAGTACAGGGCTTTTTATCTTACGCATCACCAGACACCCCCCAACCCCCCTTCAGGCCAAGACTCTCATCAGACATGCTCGCCTGCCAACTGCACTTGGAAGCTTTACTCACAAATGTCTTTTAAATGGCTGTTTCTTGTAATAACTATGATGTTTCTGTCACTTTCAGACCGGGTACTGGAATGAATTCGAAAAATATGTATATATTGTGGATGCGCAGGTCACCAACGAGTCCTCTTCTGTGGAAAACCGAACGATTGTGGTCACTACTATTATGGTACACTTTCCAAGCAGATTTTAAATGTTCCACCTCTAAAAAATTCTGCCACTCAAGGTCAAGGTGTCCATTGTTACATTCTGTCCTGGGAGGGTAGAACTATTTTCTTTTGAGTTGCTTTCCATCCACTCACTACATGTTGAAACAGTCGATTCACAAAGAGTGTTTCAACTGTATCCGTGTGGGTGTTAAAGCATTTTGATTTTCCATATTACGGTGGCCTGTTGTAGCAGTGACATCACAATAACGGCTTTGGTAATGATAACTAGCTAGAGCCTATAGACGTAATCTAATACACATTCAGTGCATACGTACGTAAGTAAAAACCTGTTTCTTACTCATTAAGTAAATGGTCAATGATGACAGGGTTAGAGACAACAAAACGACCTGTAATGATCAATTGTTTCTCACTGGGGACGCAAAATAACTGCCATTTGAGGAGGACATAAAAAACCTCACCGCTTTAAAGCTTTGGTTTGTTTATCCCCTTGTTCAAATATATTTTGGATCGTCCACTACGAGTTCTGTACTGAAGTATAACCTCTGTGGCTTTCTCCAATATTCAGAGATATTAGGGGTCAAAGGTCAGGGATAGTTAGAGATGAGGTATTCCCCAGCTCAAGCAGAGAGAAAAAAATAAATCAGCTGGATGTATATACGGTTAGTTAGAAGACCTTGGTCATTTTTAAATGTAAAATAAGGTAAGCCTTATCTTACATTTAAAACAATGGCCTTCTTTCTGACTCTGCCTATTATGTGTTCATCTTAGGCAAATTCAGAATACGAAAGTCAGACATTCTCATCTAAATGTAAGCATGTCATGCTCATACTCATAATTAGTTAGGATACTTCTGATAGACACAGGGAAATGGTAGGACCATTGTAATGTTATGATAGCAATAGTGTTGCACCACTCATCTAGTGATCATGCATTAGTCTATTGACATTGTAAATTGACAATGCTCATCTCATTATGCATCAGAATTAGCTATATTTTACTTTATTTTTTTTATAGCACAGAGAGGTGAAAAGATACCTTCAGCACAGAAAGAAAGAAATTGACCATTGTTTTACCCACTGGCATCTCTTATACTCCTGGCACGGATTGGGATGTGATTTAAGATCAATCACTCTGTTTGATTTTTGAGCCGAGCCAAAAAGAAAACCAACCACATCTCAGAGTTTGAAGAGCCAAGTATGTCTATTAACACCTCCCAGTGTATTCTGTATGGAAGATAAGCTCAGAGTTGGTTTGATTAATTGAATGATGCAGCCTCCCTGAACATTCAACGATGATATGTGTTTGATGGTATTGCAATAAAAACTAACATTACTGTAATCTCTCGCCAATCACTGCCATTTACTTAATGAACTGGAAAGTCTCCCAATCCCCCGTTTAACCTGCCCCTGTCCTACCAAGCCGATGCAAAGCTAATGCACCCTCCACCCAGCCCCCACCTCCTTCCAGTTGTGGCTGGGTTTAGCATGAAGGAATCCGGCTGAGAGACCCAGCCCCTTCCCCCTTTATGCCTGTCTGTCAGAGGCCTTACTGTCCCCACTGGATGCCCGGGTTGGGCCCTGCTTCAAGCCCGCTGCTATGGAGGCTGGCTGCATTTGGTTGTGGATCGGGTCAGCGCCCCAACATCCCCGTGTGACCAACTCTGTATGGCGCTTCTTGTCCATGCTGTTCTGTTATTATTTCCTGTTTGTGTGCTCTGTGTCTGTCTATGTCTGTGTATGTCTGTGTGTGTGTGTGTGTAATCCAAGCATGTGTGCATGCAACAATCACGGTGTGGGTTAAAGAGAACTGGACTCAAGAGGACTGGCCTCTGTGAATGGAATGTGTGCATGCTCAACTATAAACTCAACATTATGTTTAATTAACAGGAATCTCCTTATGTGATGTACAAGCGAAACTACTTGTCGCTGGATGGGAATGACAGATATGAAGGCTACTGTGTCGATTTAGCTGCCGAAATTGCAAAACATGTGGGGATAAGATACAAACTGTCAGTAGTTGCGGACGGGAAGTATGGTGCAAGGGATCCAGAGACCAAGACGTGGAACGGGATGGTGGGTGAACTGGTATATGGGGTAAGTGACAGTCTCGACGTACTGAAGCACTGTCACCAACACAGGGACGGGGGCTTGGCCAGCTCTGGCTTGAGGTATGTGGGCCAGATCTGGTTTACACACCTAAACCAGATCTTCGGCATGAAAAGGCCAGACCTTGCCCAGCAGGGTGAATGTAGCCCGGCAACTACGGATATTTGTTAGGGTCACATATCACAAGCCAGAGCTGGCTCATAAGCAAAGTGTGCCTACCCTCGCCCTGGTCGCATCTCCCACATTCGGACCAGATCTGGCCTTTTACTGTTGCGGTGGCAGCACTGATCCATATGTGCCACCCAGCAACCAGATCTGGCCCGCAATCCTCTACTGACTGGGTGTGTGATTTTCTCCATATGTATCTCCATAAATCAGATCTTAATTGAAAGATTGATTACTTTATGTTATGAACCACTCACTACATGTGTAAGTATGAGCCCATTTTCTTCTTTCATAAAACACTGTGAAATGGTTAATGTTTCATTAAGGGACAGGTGACAGCCAGACTATAAAGTGAAAATGAATAACATCTGCCTGTCAGTTTGAATGCAAGCAGCGATACTCTGAATGCATCTTAATTTAACACAAAATAACATATTCCTGTCGTAATGAACATTTTACCAACCATTCTGCAAAATGACAGCCGTGCCTCTTCAGAGAGCTGAAAGAGAGAGAGATGATCTCCTGCTATAATTGACAGGCTTTGTACAAGCCCTGAGACACCTCTTTGCATCAACAATAAATCCGCCAGACCATTAATTAGCCATTCACATGCAAATGAGCCAGTGATATATTGAGACAAGGAGTGGCTGGGAGCTGTGTTTTTCACAGAGTCCCTGCCTAACCCTCACTAAAATGATCCCAGCCCTCGCATGGCATTTACATATTTATCAGTCAAGGCCTGGTCTGGTTGTGACTCTGGGACCTGAAAAGCTATCAATGGGAACATTTATTACCTAGCTGAGCTATTCGCTAATAAGGCTAGGAGGCTTTAAAGACAATCTGATAAAGGAGTTGAATTTCCCAGGCTGATTCAAATATCATGGGCTGTTTGCATAAGCTCTTCAACCTCCTGTTTCCATACCTTCTACTTCATAAATGGTTCAGACTGAGTAATGCACTCTTTTGGATTAAGGCAGAGACATTAGCCACTACTAATGCTAACTGCGATTGGTCCATTTTAAGCTGGCGGGTCTCACTTTCTTCTTAAACGTATCTGACATTTAATGCATTCATTTTTCTAATCCACAAGTTCATTTTACCTTGCTCCATCTCTACTCATTGGTTTCAGCAATACATTATAGATATATTATAGTCATAATTAGATATTCAAATTGCATGATGACCAGTTTTGATCAAGAAACAGTGAAATCCCATAATTTATTTAGATGGGCATTCTATTTTAAATTGTTCTAAATCGGGCTTTGATCACAATGGCAGTTTGATGTGATGTGTCTGTGCTGTGTTTTGAACCACTAACTCCTGTGCCTGTTCCCATTTTTCCAGAGAGCTGATATAGCAGTGGCTCCTCTAACTATAACATTGGTACGAGAGGAGGTGATAGACTTCTCTAAGCCTTTTATGAGCCTGGGGATCTCCATTATGATAAAGAAGCCTCAAAAGTCAAAGCCGGGCGTGTTCTCCTTCCTGGACCCACTGGCCTATGAGATCTGGATGTGCATAGTGTTTGCCTATATCGGCGTGAGCGTGGTGCTCTTCCTGGTCAGCCGCTTCAGCCCCTATGAGTGGCATCTGGATGAGAACGACGAGGCCAAAGACCCCCAGAGCCCTCCAGACCCACCTAACGACTTTGGGATTTTTAATAGCCTGTGGTTCTCCCTGGGCGCCTTCATGCAGCAAGGATGCGATATCTCGCCAAGGTTGGTTACTGTACTCCATGTTCCATCACCTCAAACTCAGCCATCCTATCATCTACATACTGGACCATCTCTCTGCATTTTATGGTCATAATCACTACAACTCCCATCATGCCATGGTGAATATATGTTATTTTTGGATTGTGTCTTGGCTTTTTTGCTCTCCACCCCATTCACCTCCACTCCGTCTTTCCCTCATACTCTTTAAACACACCACCACCATTCCTCACTCCCTCACTCTTTCTCTCCAGGCTGCATGCTAACAGTTATGCATTGCATCCACAAAATAACTTATATCCACCATGCCGGGGACTGTAAAATGCACAGGGTCATAACATCCATGAGGAGTTTCCCCTATTCCCCATGACTCTTGGAGGGCTATCGTGTTTTTGTTGCATGTCCCATTTTACGGTCATCAGCCTGGTGCATATAATGTTTTTAAAGTGGAAGACATTTTTATCAATTTTCACTCTGATGAAGCACCGTAATAGCATTCAATTCGGCCCCTACCTCATGACTCATTTCATGAATCTTAATATAGACAAAAAGTAACGTCCTCTCCCCCCTCTTTTCATTCATTCAGTCCATCTCTTCACTCATCATCACTGTTGCGCCGGTTTGTCCCTCGTTCCTTCTCGGGGGACTGTCATTGTTCAAGCCATCCCTCCTCATCTTGTCTGGGATGTTGGGCCATTGTAGTGCATCTGAATGAAGATCAATGAGAGAATGTTCCAGGTCATGTCTATCAGAGCTGAGCATCAGTCTCACCTGAATAGTGATGGCTACAGCGCTATAGGGTAATGGTCCACTGAGATCAACACTTAAACATGCATTGTTTGGATTCGTTCCTCAGTCATTTTTCCCTTACTGTCTCTATGATAAAATGTTTGTTTTTTTGGAGCATTACTCAAAAAATAGAAGGGGTTTGCGTACTGAAAACTGAGTGATGGTTTCCCATGTGCAGTGGAGAAAGTCACCTCTAAATAAAAGGCAAGCCATTTAATCATTGTAACATAATACCAGAAAAGAACACAAAACATTCTGTGGTGATTTAGGATGTCAGGTACTATTTGAAGAGCCCATAGAATGCCAAAGAGTCAATGCCATTGATTTGATGAAGACTATTTAGTAAATGCCACTCTCCCTCCTGGAGGATCGGTTTATGTGATAGACTGCAGTAAGCCTAAGGTTAGTAGTTACCTTACCAGTGGGGATCGTCAGCCTCATTGAAGCTGATGCACGCTAATCTCTGCTTGCTGTGTTTGTGTGTGCTATCATTCAGTCACAACACAACCCTCCACGCAAGCATCATAGAGCAACAAGGCTGGGACACCATGTTTTTCTCTGTGTAAAGAGCATTAACATTGAGGTATGTGGGTGAGATTTGACATAAATCCAAGATCAATGCTCTGAGGCTGTGCATTTATGTCAATACGTGGTGTGTGATACCCAGACTCTACACAGGAAGCAGTGGACTCCAAAGGCATGGCGGCCTCCATCCCTCTGTCAGTGTGTAGGATTGAGCACCCTGCTCTCACGTCCCTCTGTCCTCCTCATCCCCTCTCTCTCAGGTCTCTGTCGGGCAGAATCGTGGGGGGGGTGTGGTGGTTCTTCACCCTCATCATCATCTCCTCCTACACAGCCAACCTGGCTGCCTTCCTCACAGTGGAGAGGATGGTGTCTCCCATAGAGAGTGCTGAGGACCTGGCCAAGCAGACAGAGATTGCCTACGGGACCCTAGACTCAGGCTCCACCAAGGAGTTCTTTAGGGTGAGTGACTAAACTAACTGGGGGTTTATTCACCAGACACAACTTTAGTCTCTTTACAGTTAGAACACTAAAAAAAGCAGACAAGACATCAAAGCAAGGAGCACAGGGGAATGGTATAGATATTTAGTTTTGTTTGATACCTAACAGAAAATATGGAAGTAGTTAGCTATGATAATAAATATTGAAGAAGGTCAAGCTACTATACACGAAACAGGTGGCTATCAGAGTCTATGCTACTGTGTGGAGACGGAAGGAACAAAACATAAAAAACAAAGCATAAAAAATTGAACACACTGAATATTTTAAAAAGTATATTTATAGCCTGGTGTTTACAGTTAGTGAATCAGTGCAGTGAAACATAACCACTTGTGCAAGCCACTGGATGTAAAGCAAATGTGCTTCTCTTTCATGATTTGTTTGGCAGGCTGGCTGACGGCCTGGTGATTTGTCCCAGGTCTTTCTGGGGAGATAATTGATAGGTGTTTAGGGACTTCATGTCCCTCCGCCTTCAAACTTCAAATGTCACGACTGAGGAGCCATTCCAGGGCACTTCTAATTAAAATAGAGGCTCCAGATACATTTTAAATATGTTCTTCAGGAAAGATGTGCTGCTTAATTAGAGTCATATAGCCACCAGGCAAACGGAAATCTGCTCTGATGACACACTGGCAGGTCATCCCTCAAATGGCTCACCTTCACTTTCCCGTCATTCCCTCACTCCTCTCAGGATTTACAGTACCGGCACCCTAGTACATCACATGCTTCCCCAACTGCTCCCTCGCTCATGTCACAGCCCCTTTGTTGTCAAAGAGTCAGAAGAAGAATATTCAGACACATCAAACTGATTTTAAGTGCTTGCATTTTTATCTCCATTTCCACCTCATGTATCTTAGGCACAGCAGCATGTATGTGATACATGGAGAGAAATTAACTTAGCTCAGGCATCTCATTTTCAAAACCAGCCATGTGTATGTTATCAGCCTGGTCTCATAGACTAAACGTAACATAGTAAAAGTAAATCCGGGACACGCAAATTATTATGATCTGTTACGTTTGGTATGGTTACATAAGACAGAAGGTTGTATGAATTGAAAATTGTAATTTGTAACATAAAAAAAAATAAAAAAAATACGCCATTTAGCAGACGCTTTTATCCAAAGCGACTTACAGTCATGCGTGCATACATTTTTGTGTATGGCAACATCTCATACGAAATGGATGATGGACATCCACAAATTAATACATACCATACGAAACATAACATATCATACTAATTGGAGTGTCCTGGATTTACATTTACTATGTGACGTGTATGCGTCCAGGTTGATGTTATACAGCCTGATGAAATGAAATTGCAGATTCTTTTTTTAGTTACGTAAGTTGTTTCCACATTTTAATACTTTTGGCACTCGTATAACTGGCCAGAAGAGAATCCAATAATTACATGTGGACAAGCACTCTGCATACAGACAGAATGCTAATGATTTATTTTCCGACTCATCCCTACTTTGTATTGCCAGTGGGGTGGACCTGAGCAAACAGCCATAAAGCATTCAGAGCACATAAATGGAGAGTTGATAGATGGACTGACAGTTGGAGGTGTTTGGGTTGCACTATGGGAGCCAGCTTCTTCTCATTAATATGTATTTATTTTGCAAATGGATACTGAGGCCGAAAACTAACTTACAACGTGCTTTTTTATGTTGTAGTATAGATGAATATAGATTTGCGTTTGAACACTGGAGACCTTTAGCCCATATATGATTGCTGACTCAAGTAACACAAGCAGAAGAGCTGCGCCCATCTTTACATGACCCAGAAATTACCCTCTGTTTACACAGCATGGCCAAGCCTGTCATAAACTATTACTGTCATTTACATTAACTGTCCCTCCCACTGAAATTGTGCAGATGTCAAGCATGATTCAATCATGGCCCTGAATACATTACATATCCAGCTACTGCTGAAATTTGCATGATACAATGCGGGGAGACAGCTTTATTTTATTCAGCAATGCATTGATATTGATGTTCTGTTAGATGCATCCATCTTGCAGAAAGCATTGATCAGATATTATCATGCAACTACTGTAAAAACATAAGAAGCTGGAGACATAAGCAACTGCAGCCCCTCATGATTAGTTCAGATTTTTTGTGACCCCCACCCCATCAAAGTTGCCCATCCCTGATATAGAACATCCATGACATCAGTTTGATAAAGTCAGGTGCTTAAGCTTGGCTCTTGTAATCCATCTGATATAATGCTGACTTCGCTATCGATACCGAAAATCATTTGTCTTGTTATGTTTCAAGTGATAACAAAAGTGCTCTCACAGGGGTTTCAGTATTGACATTTAAAGCACTTTCTGTGACATTTACTGGATTCTCTGGCCACATTCATTCATGTCACCTGTATTGTGTAAATGCCCTTTCCACTCTGGAGACAGCTCAGGTCCCACCCCCTCCCCCCAGTCTATTATAGCTTCTCTCTCTGAAAACCTGGGCTGAAGGCCCTGCTGCACAAAAGGCCTTTTTTCAAAAAGACAGACTGATTTTGATCTTCCTTTTACCTGAAAATCATGGAGGTGTAAGTAGCAGCAATAGGAGCTGAATGTACTGCAGATTTTAACAGATTTTGTCAGTGAAAAAAATTTGCCCTTGATCGATACACCCATAAGGCTTCAACATCTGTTGGTGCATAAGAAGCAACCGCTTCCAAGGAATGTCCCGCTGAGCAACCCCACCCCCTCAATCACCTCCCATATGGTCTCTCCCTGTACTCTTTAAATGAGTGTGTGATGCAGGGGGTAAAATCCACCTCTCTGGGGGTGGGGGAATAAGTTGTAAGAGAAGCTGACTCCCCATTGTTCAAGATTACATACTAGTCAGCTCAATTTCACTCAATTCATTGGTGTGCTGTGAGTGTAAAAGCAACCATCACTGATGAGAACGAAATGACAGTCTTGATGTTTGTGAATATTAGGGGAAATATTTGAGCAGAGTGATGCTGATGCCAACATAGCAGCATATGGTGTATATGCATATCAGAGACTAATGTTTTAACTGCAGCATTGTTTGTTTTTCTATAGTCTAATAATTAACATGTTGATTCATATTTAGCTCATTTATTGAATCCCCTCTGATCTGATCCTACCCCTGTCATATCAGTTGTCCTGAGAACACCAGACATCTCTGCAGGATAAGCTAGAGTGACACCAAGGTGTTCATTATGTTCAACAGCCCTATTTACGGTTTACATTACAGACCAATGATGTAATCATCAAGCTCATCAGGAGTCAAGCCCATCACTCCCAATAAAGAGCAGAGGAGCAGTGAAGAGGGTCTCAGGCCGTTAGGGGTTATGTAAACTATTAGCATCCCAAATCAGCGCTATCACCTCCCCAGAACCACAGCACTCTGTCTCATAATTATAACAGTCAGAGTCATGTAATGTATTCATATTCAGCTAACTCAGCATGTAATTAAGTGACATTGTGGTTTCTGTATACAGCCACCTCTGTTAAACAGATTGACACTTTCTATGAGGATTTACTGAATCCAGAGCAATATGAGAAAGCATCTGTTTGCTCTGGTGTGCAACCACCTGATTGAAGAAACAGCTGAATGTCCAGCTAATTATATCCCCAAAGCTTAGTAAGTCAGTCAATAGACAGTCTGTAGACTGATTTTAGAGAGCACATCAGAACTGGTGCTTAATGCACAATCAATATTGATTAGAGGAATTTTGCTTTATGCAAATGTGGGCCTTCTTAGTCTGTAAGGACATGTTTGTGTGTGTGTGTGCGTGTGTATGGGTGTTTGTACGCTCTTTGAAAAAAAGGTGCTATCTAGAACCTTAAAAAGTTATTTGGGTGTCCCCATAGGAGAACCCTTTGAAGAACCGTATTTGGTTGCAGGTAGAACCCTTTTGGTTCCAGGTAGAACCCTTTTGTGTTTATTTGTTTATTTATTTGTTTATTAGGATCCCCATTAGCTTTTGCAGAGGCATCAGCTACTCTTCCTGGGGTCCACAAAAGTAACAAAACACTGTTACACTGATAGACAAGGACAGTCACACAAATTTCAAATACAACGATACACGAACAAAACCCCAAACAAAGAATACAAACAAAAATGTTTGATGTGTTAGAGTATGTCTGTGTGTCTGTGTGTGCGTCTGTGTGTGTGTCCCCTCACAGTCCCTGCTGTTCCATGAGTAGTTTTTTACTCTGTGTGTGTTTTACTATCCTCGTGGGTACCAGAAATCCCCAAAAGACCCCACAAGGATAGTAAAACAAGAGAAATTCCCACAAAGACAAAGGCTATTTTAGGCTTACGGGTTAGATTTATGGTTAGGGTTACAATTAGGGTTAGAATTAGGGTTAGGGGTTACGTTTACGGTTAGGGAAAATTGGATTTTGAATGGAAATACATTTTAGGTCCCCACAAGGATAATAAAACATATAGTGTGTGTGTGTGTGTGTGTGTGTGTGTGTGTGTGTGTGTGTGTGTGTGTGTGTGTGTGTGTGTGTGTGTGTGTGTGTGTGTGTGTGTGTGTGTGTGTGTGTGTGTGTGTGTGTGTGTGTGTGTGTGTGTGTGTGTGTGTGTGTGTGTGTGTGTGTGTGTGTGTGTGTGTGTGTGTGTGTGTGTGTGTGTGTGTGTGTGCACGAGCGTGCGTGCGAGCGTGCATGCGTGCGTGCGTGTGCAACTGTATGCGTGTGCTCACACACGTAAAAAGTAGATCAATCTGTTTCACACTAAAATTCACGATGGTCCACAGTAGCCAAGCCATCTGCAGTTTAATATGTAATGTTAGATTTAGCTTGATTCAGCTATTATGGTGGGCCTAGTGCCCATTCTCCATTAAAAAGTGAAAAGGATATGACAAAACAAAAACTTGCCAGAAATGAACTTCTAATGGCCTTCTCAGATTAAATAGTAATATCTATTCATCAACAACATATGATGTTATTTGGAGCCCTGGGTAATACAGCCATAGATATAATCACCAAGTTGACTCTGTTTTTGCCACATTAAGCGTTCACTTGCTAATTAAATCAATGTATAGGCTATTTATACACATTATTATTTTGGTCGTGAGAACATCCATCCTAAAGTTTTCCCCACTCGTTCGGTCACTCGGCAGAAGGTCACATTAACCTAGTTTAATGCAGCTTCCTTGTTTGTCCTTCTATTGTCGACTGCTGTGTGTGTACCCCAGCTCCATGGAGACCCGACGCCAGCCACTTAGAAGCCATTTTTAGCAGCAGCTCCCTGGGTGTGAGTCAGTAAGGGCAGGGCAGGAGGCAGGAGGCAGGCCAGGGCATGGCAGGGCTGTGTTCTCCTCTCAGCACGTCATATTGCTGCTCCAGGTGGCAGCAGCCCCACTGATCCATCCAGGTGACACCTCCAGAACCCCAAAGTCAAAAGGCCTGCTGACTCACTTCCTGTCTTGTGACCTCAGGGGGAGAAGGGGGGGATGGTGAAAGGGAGCAGGTGGTCAGTCAGGTGGTCGTCCTGTCGATGGATGCTGAGGAGAAACATGACCCTGCAGTTTTGTTTGTAGTGTTCTGCCAGCTTGTCAGACCTCAGATCTGCTGTTGGCAACAGGCCCACTACAACGACTCCTTTACTCAGCTCTCTAGGAGCACAGACAGCACTCTATTGACTCATGGCAAAGGTGTACACTGTATATGAAGGTGTATATGTGTAAAATGTGCTATTTAAGTGCTATGGTCTACATTTTTTTATACACCACTAACCTATTTTTGTATTCTCTCTCTCCCTCTCTCCCCAAATGCAGCGCTCCAAAATAGCAGTTTATGAGAAAATGTGGTCTTACATGAAATCGGCTGAACCGTCAGTGTTCGCAAAGACCACACCAGAAGGGGTTGCTCGAGTGCGAAAGTCGAAAGGCAAATTTGCCTTTCTTCTCGAATCCACAATGAACGAGTACATTGAGCAGCGGAAACCTTGTGACACCATGAAAGTGGGCGGCAACCTCGACTCTAAGGGATACGGTGTGGCAACACCTAAAGGATCAGCATTAAGGTGGGTGGGATAATATAACAATATTCTCCATGTTGTTATAGTATTCCACCCACCCTGATGTCTCCTGTTGTCCCATTCCTCTTCTTCCTCACTCCTAAATTTCTATTTTTTTGAGGTTCATCAGGAAGTAAATGGTATTGTGTTTCTTTAACTCTGGTCTAGACGTAAAGCCATTTCTGTCATGTTCTCTCTATCTCTATGGTTTGTTTCTCTCTGTGTTGCTGGTTTTTTCTTTCTCTTCAAAGGGAAAGTACTCTTGGGATATTAGTCATATTTACTAAATCCATTTGTATGTTGATGTGCCCCCACACCCACCCCTGGTTTGTTCTCTTCCCCTCAACCTTTCACCTCTCTGTCCTCTGTGGTGTCCCTCTCTGGCAGTTCTGCATTGCTTCATTTAACAGTTCAATGTGTTTATTTCACTTAACTTGCTAAAAGCTGCACTGTCACTTGTGATGAATGTTAACGTGCATGCTGTATGTTGTCGTTATACTTCTATTCTCAATGACAAAGTGTCCCCATCCCCCACACTTCAGTTCTGAGCAATGTAACCCTCCATACCACCTCTCTAATATTTAACACTTTATTTGATGTAAAACGCTTCTTACCTCTGCACACCGGTGAAATTCTTTACCAATTTGTCCTTTTCGTGCTCCCCCTTATGAGTCATTTGATATTATTACTATTATTACTATTAACTAATATTCTAATATTAGATTTCTCACGGACCTGTTCATTTTCTTACAAGTCATGTTTTATCGTTTCAAGAAATGCTGTTAACCTGGCAGTGTTAAAACTGAATGAGCAAGGCCTCTTGGACAAATTGAAAAACAAATGGTGGTACGACAAGGGAGAGTGCGGCAGCGGGGGAGGTGACTCCAAGGTCAGCCTCAATGTCACCAAAATCGGGTATCGTAGAGTAGAGTAATCGGCAAGCCTGTAAATCACTAATGTAACCTATAGGCCCCAACCACAGTCCACTATGGCCCTGTAACAGAAAACCGTGTGGCTTTTTCTATTTTATCGTGCAACTGAGATCAAACTGGGAACCCTTTACTTGGCTAATGGAGGAAAAAGACCAGTAACAATTGAGATATTTCTGAGAAAAAGATTATCTATCTTTTTACTGCAGGTAGAGAAGAGTTGAAGCTGATTATTATTCCTGATGGTAGTAAAGTAGCACCATTCTGGTAAGAAACCAGACTGTGAGACCTCCTTAGTGTTCTGTTCTGCAGCAGGGCTGCTCTGTGAGATATTTCCTTTTTAGTTTAGTGCTTTGCCCTGTGGTTGTCAAAGGCAAAACATACAGAATGGCAGAATGTACATTTTCTCTGCTTTTTATATCCACAGGACAAACATGGTGGAATTATAATGCTCTGTTTCACTAAGACGTACTTCAGGGGGCTTCTATTTGAAGAGAACAACACATTTCATCACTTATTTAACTGATAGTGGATGAATAATTTGTCGCAATTGATGCTGAATGAAGTATTGATTAAGAGAATAACATGGCAGTGGCCATGTACCCTAGCACTGAGGTGTACAGTAGCGCTCTCCAAACTGCCTCAACCTTGGGTGCTAGGGCAGGCGAGGCGAACAGCGTAGTCTTGAGGGGACTAAGCATTGCAGGCAAACGTGAGAATTCTAATGACAGTGACACCAAATGATCCAACATTTTGTCTGATACCAATAACATCGCTGAAAAACAGTGTTAGCTTGTCACCCTGACAGATTCCTTTGGTTGGTCTTAGTCTCCAAGACCAGTCAAAGTCTAGCCATGGCTGGCCCCATCCCGACCAATGAAACGCTGCAAGAGGGTGGAAAATATGACCTGATCTTGTGTTTCAGAACACGAGGGCAAAGCGACAGCCCGACGGTGGATCCGTCTCTGTCTCTACTCTTCTGCTTGCATCTTGTCCACAGTACACTTGGCACATTGTAGAAGAACAGGCAGACTGACATTGATGTTGTTGACTCTAGTCATTCATTCCTGAGCGTAAGCGGGACATTAATACTATAGCAGAGCAACACAAAGCAGCTGCCTCGTCCTGCAAGCAATCTGCCTTGAATCCTTGGTAGAGAGAGGGTAGCCATGTTATGATATCGCACCTGACTGCCACATTTCTTGTTTATTCTTTTATTCCTAAAAATGCATGTGTTGGTACTTTAACAATGTGCTTCAAATATATTGTATGTAATAACCACTGAGAGAGGAAAACCCAATATATTAAAGACACAAACTAGATCTGACATTGGCAAATTACACTCTAAATATACCATAAATACCTAGGGAAATTGGCTCAAATATGAAAGTAGGCTACATTTTAAAAATATTTTCCTCATATTTATCACAGACATATACACAATAAGGAAAGTTCATACAGCAGGTTAAGAACTGGAACGAGTAACTATTTGTGATATTTGGATGTATGAGAATCGGGTGTTGTGTAAAGACATTATTTTCACCTCCATGGGTAAATCGTGTTTCTTCTGTGTCATGTTTTCTCAGTTGTGCATCTTTTGTCCTCATTTTTTGTTTTTAAATTGTATTTGATATTTTGCATGAACTGTTCATACTGTGTGTGTTGATTTTATAGTTTTGTCTTTTTGTATGTTTTGGGAGTGTTCTGTTTGTATTGTTTTCCAGTTGTTGTTTTGTCACCTCAACATATGTATTCATTTGACATAAAGCTGCACCTGAATCATACTTGATGGTAACAGTGAAATAGTCATTAGACCTCCCCCACCACAGACACTGATTTTATACTCTCAAAAAAGAACAGAACATTGCTTTTTTACTTTGCTCCTCTTTGTTGTTGGACTGGATCAAAACGGGACGGAGCCCAGCATGTTTACCTAGCAGCCAGCAGCAATCCCAGGCACAAGGTGATAGCCATCTGAGAGGCATGCTCAGTACAGCACGTACATCAGCATGTGTCATTATCATGTCAGCCGCTACTGGACAGACAGACATACCCTCTGTGACACGTTAGCTAGGATAGTACTGTCCTCTATCTCGCTGTTAGCCAGTCAGTGCTCTCAGTCCACTGACCTCTCGGTTGCTGGGTCATGGCTGTTGTGGGTCACTTAATGTGTCTGCATGCCCTCATAGGACACCCCGCCAGCTCTGGATACGGGTCACGCAAGAGATAACTAAATTAATAAAATGTTTTATTTATTTGTGCTTTGTCTACATCATGCATTATAACACTGTTATGTTATGGCACTGTTATTTATTTAGTCTGTCATTACTATAGTAAAAAAAATGAGTTGGTACTCTTCCAAAACAAATAGCCATGCAATTGACAGGGATTCTTCCTGCTTGGGGACTTAGTAGGGAAACAGACATCAGTACACCCAGTTTGTCCTGATGTTGTGCCCAATCTGCCCATTGTTTAGCTGCTACTCTCCATACTGATACAGTGCCGTGCAAAAGTATTCATCCCCCTTGGCGTTTATTCTATTTTGTTGCATTACAACCTGTAATTTAAATGGATTTTTATTTGGATTTCATGTAATGGACATACACAAAATAGTCCAAATTGGTGAAGTGAAATGAAAAAACTAACTTGTTTCAAAAATTATAAAAAATGAATAACGGAAAAGTGGTGCGTGCATATGTATTCACCCCCTTTGCTATGAAGCCCTAAATAAGATCTGGTGCAACCAAATACCTTCAGAAGTCACATAATTAGTTAAATAAAGTCCACCTGTGTGCAATCTAAGTGTCACATGAACTGTCACATGATCTCAGTATATATACACCTGTTCTGAAAGGCCCCAGAGTCTGCAACACCACTAAGCAAGGGGCACCACCAAGCAAGCGGCACCATGAAGTCCAAGGAGCTCTCCAAACAGGTCAGGGACAAAGTTGTGGAGAAGATCAGGGTTGGGTTATAAAACAATATCAGAAACTTTGAACATCCAATGGAGCACCATTAAATCCATGATAAAAAAATTGAAAGAATATGGCACCACAACAAACCTGCCAAGAGAGGGCCGCCCACCAAAACTCACAGACCAGGCAAGGGGGGCATTAATCAGAGAGTCAACAAAGAGACCAAAGATAACCCTGAAGGAGCTGCAAAGCTCCACAGCGGAGATTGGAGTATCTGTCCATAGGACCACTTTAAGCCGTACACTCCACAGAGCTAGGCTTTACGGAAGAGTGTCCAGAAAAAAGCAATTTCTTAAAGAAAGAAATAAGCAAACACGTTTTTTTGTTCGCCAGAAGCCATGTGGGAGACTCCCCAAACATATGGAAGAAGGTACTCTGGTCAGATGAGAATAAAATTGAGCTTTTTGGCCATCAAGGAAAACGCTATGTCTGGCGCAAACCCAACACCTCTCATCACCCTGAGAACACCATCCCCACAGTGAAGCATGTTTTTCATCGGCAGGGACTGGGAAACTGGTCAGAATTGAAGGAATGATGGATGGCGCTAAATACAGGGAAATTCTTGAGGGAAACCTGTCTAAGTCTTCCAGAGATTTGAGACTGGGACGGAGGATCACCTTCCAGCAGGACAATGACCCTAAGCATACTGCTAAAGCAACACTCGAGTGGTTTAAGGGGAAACATTTAAATGTCTTGGAATGGCCTAGTCAAAGCCCAGACCTCAATTCAATTGAGAATCTGTAGTATGACTTAAAGATTGCTGTACACCAGCGGAACCCATCCAAGTTGAAGGAGCTGGGGCAGTTTTGCCTTGAAGAATGGGCAAAAATCCCAGTGGCTAGATGTGCCAAAAGGTGGCTCTACAAAGTATTGACTTTGGGGGGGTGAATAGTTATGCATGCTCAAGTTTTCAGTTTTTTTTCTTATTTCTTGTTTGTTTCACAATAAAACATATTTTGCATCTTCAAAGTGGTAGGCATGTTGTGTAAATCAAATGAAACAAACCCCCCCAAAATCCATTTTCATTCCAGGTTGTAAGGCTACTTTCGCAAGCCACTGTACCAGTACTGGAACCTTGCCCGATGTGACTTGCCATGTCAAAGCAACAGCTCAGTATGAGCAGGAGACAGTACTATTTGTCCAAAGCTGCTGTTACTAACCTCATTCCTATTTACATAGTTATTTTCTGAGACTTGCTGTGAACCATAAATGTTGTCTAAGTATGTTGGCTAAATTGCTGTAAAAATAAGCCATATAGCCAGATAAGATCAAATAACCTCACATTCTTTAAACTCCTTTTTTATGTAAATATTATGCTATTATGCATGAAGCAGGCTACAGTGGTGAATACAATATATTTAATGAAATTAAATTACAAACCATGATCATTTTTCAGAAAGAAAGTAAATACAGAAATCGAGCAGTCATGTAGACAGCATAATGTCTTACAAACATAACGCCCTACTTGAGGACTCATTAGAAACTGTTTAGCTTTTACATTTCTTAGTCTTATTCATTCAAATCTACCTGTAGATTTTAGTGATCTCATTGCAATTAGAAGTTAAAAAAAGTAGCTATATACCACTAATCATGCAGCCACAGAGCTACATAGAATCAATATATTGGTATATATTGATATGATAGAAAACCAGATTGGCTACAATTCCATATTACTCCAATTTAGATCTACCGCTCTCTTGTAGTTCTCAATGTTGCATTTGATTGATTGTAATTGCACAGTATATATAGGCCTATGCAAGTGGGATTTCTAGGTGGCTGTGTGGATGCATGTCCAGTGAAGGGCTGTATTTTGTGAGGTGTTGGCTGCCCTCAGCTAGAACAAAATCGGACTGCTAGTTTTTGTTTGTCTGTTAGTCATGAAAGGGTTCCTGTTAGATCCACCTTGCTAAACGCTTGGTCAAAAAGCTACATGTGCCCATAACAATTGCACCTCTTTTATGTACATATAGAGCTATATTACAGTAGCTACTCATTCTGCTAGTCCCAATCGTAAGTACTTTTTTGAACAGTGTGTGCCGATTACTCAAAGCGATACAGGTAGGGTCTGGTACGGTAGGGGTTAGTCCTGGTGTATGAAAGGTAACAGTTAGTTTTGCCTGCTCTCTGTGTTGTGTTGGCCAGGACCCTGCTCTATCGCTTTGTAAAGTATGAAGTAGTTTAAAGTTTGAATAACATAAAATAACATAATATAATGTTATTTATGTTATTTCCCACGTGAAGAACTCCTGTAAACCTTGCAGTATTGAAACTCAGTGAACAAGGCATCTTAGACAAGCTGAAAAACAAATGGTGGTACGATAAGGGTGAATGTGGAACCAAGGACTCTGGAAGTAAGGTCAGTCGCTGCAGGTCTTTTTGTACTGATTACAAATTGCATTTTGACTTAACTGTTCATATGCAAATACCTAAATACCATACATTTAAAATATATATATAGAATATATTTTCTTTCATTTTATTTATTTTTATTTTTATTTTCCTCGAATGACACATCTGCAACACAGTCTAAGTGAAAACAGTCTAAACAATATTCATTGGATAGTTTGTCTTACAAATACTTCATTATCCACAATACTGTCCACATTATTAGTGTTTACATTACGTTACTGTTATAATAATGATAATTATTATTCCTAAGATCTCATCACACAGCTTAGACATATGTAATGATAGTTGAAAAGGTGCAGCATGCCTTTGAAAAATGTTAAATTACATTTGTATTCATACTTACCATAGACAAATGACATCCATTGAATTGTAATCATTATGCTGCTGTTTTGTTAACCAAACTTGTATTGAAATATTGTTTATTAGTGTCCTTACTTATTTGCGTGCTAATTGAGTATATTTAATCTATTAACATTATGCAGTGCGACTTACTAAACAAGCTTCTTTACTCTGACAAACTCCAAACTAACTTTCAAACTCCACCTGGTCACACAGTGATCATGTGGAATCTGAAGGTCATGTTTGAACTGTAGAATGTCACAATAAGGACATTTTGTTTGCACACTTCATGAAGTTAAAGGATCTAATATAAAGCAGTTATTTAACCCTCTGAGATATTCAGAGGACAGGACATACAGGCCCTGTAGCCAACATCAGGGTTCTCCTATGACAGTCTACAAAGCACACTTTAAAGGACACACTCATAGGGTTAAAATGCAAATGGTAAAACTCTTATAAATTAATTTCAATATCTAAGTTTGGATCTTAGTAGCAGCAAAATGGTTCAATTCACAATTCCTAGAGCTTGCCACTTTGATTGAAATTGTGAGATGCAGTCAGATTGTTAATGGTACATTTGAAGAACTACAATATCATAGTGAAGTCAGGGCCAATCAAGAGTTTTTTGACCTGTACGACATTGACCACCTTCCTTTAGGGTGGCCTCGTAAACGAGCCACAGAGTAGGATAGAAGGAACCTTTTTCTCGACATTCACCAATCTAGCTATGTTATTAACTACCTGCAGAGTTGACCCACCTCTCCTGCTATTGTTGAGGATTGACTGACCTACTAGACAGTCCCAAGCTGCTCCCAGCTTCCTACTGTTGTAGGGAAGTCATTCAGCAGGTCAACCTCTGCAGTTTACCTCAATACTACCCCACAGTAGGCATATGTCTCCATGGGATTCACTGCCTACACAGTTGATAGAACCATACAGAGTTGTTGGGGTAATCGATTAGATCACTAATAGTGGGGGTGTCGTCTTCATTAGAGCTGGATTTGACTTGGGGAGATTTTGCCTTTCTTGTTTGATCAGGTCACAACCAAAATGTATGTTAAAAAATTCTTAACATTGTTCTTTACCTTCCCCAGGACAAGACAAGTGCTCTAAGCTTGAGCAATGTGGCGGGAGTCTTCTATATTCTGGTTGGAGGGCTAGGGCTGGCTATGACCGTGGCTTTGATAGAGTTCTGTTATAAGTCACGGGCAGAAACCAAAAGACTGAATCTGGCTAAGAATGCCCAAAACTTTAAACCAGCTCCTCCGGCAAACACCCAGAATTTTGCCACATACCGAGAAGGCTATAATGTGTATGGAACAGAGAGTGTTAAAATCTAGGGGGTATGTCTCTCCCACATTTTGTCCCAGTTGTCTTGGGCCAGGGCTCTTCAACCCTGTTCCTGGAGCTACCATCCTGTAGGTTTTTGCTCCAACCGTAATCTAGCGCACCTGGTTCTAATAATTAGCTGGTTAATAAACTGAATCAGGTTACTTACAACTGGGGTTGGATTGAAAACCTACAGGAGGGTAGTTCTCCAGGAACAGGGTTGGAGAGCCCTGTCTTGGGCACTAAGTGTCTCTCAGAATGTATGTCACCCTGTTACTGTATGCCATTGCAACACAATGTTATGATAAACTGATAATGTTTTCAACATGAGCAATGCATGTATTGTATGTTCTATAATATTTTTCAAGAATAGGCTACAATCACTGATTTTGAATGCTGTTGAAATCTAGCCTTCAAGGGCCCTGAATGGTCTATATGTTATATGTAAGTTTGCCTATTATTGAAAAATATAACATTTTATGGTATCAACAAAAAATTCTGTTGAAATTCGATTCCGGTGTTACAGATCTGAAGTCTGTCCCTTCCGCTGGTGTGTCTGGAGGAAGGGACAGTCACTCTGTAGGAATACAACCCACTGGCTGGCACCCTGGAAGCGAGGCGGCAGACTTGGTCATCAGCTTGGACCCAAACCCACAGTCAACAAATGCCCATCCTGGGTTGCCAAGCCTGGCACGATAATCGACGATGGTGACGCAATAGGACTTGTGCTTCTTGAAATATGGGACTTGCCTCTCTTAGTGCCTTACGGAGCATTCAGCGTCACAGCAATGCAACTCCATTTTGGTTCACTTGAAAATACAAGAATCGCAAAAGAATATAGGGTAGGAAAGAAAGAAAACATTTATACTGTTGTAATCTATAAGTGGGAAAGTTTTAGTTGAATTATTTTGAAGAAAAAAAGCCATTAAGAGACTCATCCCAGAGAACATTTAAAGTCATTTCAAGCCTTTACAGGCATATTTTAGTGGTAAAATGTTTATTGAAAAAATGTTGTTTTATTTAACGTACTAGAGTCATCTTCCTATTTTACTATAGATTATTATATGACATTGAAAATAATTTTAAGACGAACTTAATAGGGTAGGATCAATAGAAAAGGACAATGTTGTACCCTAATCTTTTATTTAAAATATGTGCATAATTTGAAATCATTGGTTATTTAAAATGTCTTAGGTGCTGTCCATTTTCTCAGAGCCTGATGGACAAGCTGCCATTTGATCATCATGGTAGCAGCATAACATGACTGGTTAAAATAAATGCAATATTTAATTTGGGCCATGGCCCACACTTGTCACTACTGCCGAAAATGTTACATTGAAAACAGTTTTTATGAAGATGTGATCAGTTTTTAAAAGCCATATGGGGCCATATTGTTGAGGTTTTTGATTGAACAGAGTATTAACAGTTGTAGAGAACACTTGCAGTATAGGCATACTGAGCATAATTGGTTTTTGGTTATAAACAGTACACCCCTATTTACAACATATTAAAGGTTTGAGTACTCATCTTAATCAAAATCGGCTACATTTCTTTCACATTAAAATGGAAAAAGGTTCTTAAATTGTAAGTCTAATTGCAACGCAATCCAATGATAATATATTTAAAGGAGTTAAATCTCTATCTTAACATGTATGGTAAATATAGCACACTATATCTGGTTGTAATTTACATTAATTTATTTGTACCTGTGTGTTTTATGTTTAGATTGGGTTAATTACTGAATAATGATCAATGAGAGTGGAGAGAGAGATCAGAAGAATACAACTAGAGTATTTCTGTTTTATGTTTCTGAGAAAAATAACTATCAGAAGAATACAACAAGAGTATTTCTGTGTTTTTATGTTTCTGCAAAAACTGTGATCCACTAGCCTACACTTTGAAGACATGCCAAGACAAAACGGATTATGATGAATAAGATAATTCTTTATAAACCATGGAGAACCATAAATGTTAAGAAACATGTATATTTCCAGTTTATTTTTTCTTTTCTTTTTTACAAATAAAATGCATGTGAAATTGGTGAACCCTTTACCAAACTGCAACCTAAAGCAGACCCTAGGAAGTTAGCAAACAATCTCAACTTTATAACGAATTTGATCCTTTCAGTCTTTTGGTTATTTTATTTGTAACTGCACCTCAGCAATGAGAAAATTGCCACGCTACGTAGTGATAACAAGAACTGCATGTGTGGACATACTGAACCTTGTGAGGTCCTGTACAAATAATTTTATTACATTTTGTAAATAAAAATGGATTAAAAATCGGTTATTTTCTAATATTATTGGATAAGCTATTGAATGTTATTCTTTGTCATACAGGGACAATACATTTTATCATCCAAATATCTCCAGTGATCATACTGCACCATGTAATGCACAGGAAGAAACCAGCCCAGCAAATATGAACATTTATCCAGTCGACTACTCATCCTGCATGATCTTGAAATGGGCAGAGAATGACACAATATGGACAATCCATATGGCTTGCCCTGAAGTAGAATGCCATTACAGTTGAATGGTATATGCGAGCAATGTTTTCATGACAATGCACTATATTACAAAGAGGGTATTTCCAGTGTAGAGGTATAAACTAGCAGGATTGCAAGACTGGACAGGACTTGGTCTGGGGCTTTTGTGTGATAAATGATGTAAAGCCAGAGAACTTATGATTTACGACCAAGCTAAAACACTGAGGCAGACAGGAGAATGCTCTCAACTGTAAAATATCAACATGACTAGAAGCCTAGTTTTAACACTATTTATTTATTTTAACCAGGCAAGTCAATTAAGAACAAATTCTCATTTACAATGACTGCCTACCAAGAGGCAAAAAGCCTCCTGCGGGGACAAAACACGCATGACAAGAGAGACACCACAACACTACATAAAGAGAGACCTAAGACAACACAGCATGGTAGCAACACAACATGAAAACTACACGGTAGCAACACATGGTAGCAGCACAAACATGGTACAAACATCGTTAGGCACAGACAACAGCACGAAGGGCAAAAAGGTAGAAACAACAATACATCACACGAAGCAGCCTCAAGTGTCAGTAAGTGTCCATGATTGAGTCTTTGAATGTAGAGATGGTGATAAAACTGTCAAATTCGAGTGTTTCTTGCAGCTCGTACCAGTTGCTAGCTGCAGCTAACTGAAAAGGCGAGCAAATCAGGGATGTGTGTGCTTTGGGGACCTTTAACAGAATGTGACTGGCAGAATGGGTGTTGTATGTGGAGGATAAGGGTTGCAGTAGGTATCTCAGATATGGGGGGAGTGAGGCCTAAGAGGGTTTTATAAATAAGCATCAACCAGTGGGTCTTGCGCCTGGTACACAGATATGGCCAGTTTACAGAGTATAGAGTGAAGTGATGTGTCCTATACAGAAGCATTGGTGGAAAATCTGATGGGCGAACACTAGACTATACATTTGTAATGTATTTAAGAGCTTCCCTTACAAAAAAAGATTGCAGTTTTGAAACTGCAGTCAACTGTGGTATTTTGGACGCAGTAATTGTAGAATAACTGCAGTGTACTGCAGATAAACGGTAGTGTACTGAAGTTATACGGCACTCTGACTGCAATCTTTTTTCATTTATCCGAAAATAAACTGCAGGAGCTTTTCCTATAAGGCTTTATAGCATTGCTCAACACTGCAAGGCTTCACATCAGGCAATGCAACGTTTAGAGCGTTCTCGGTGTACCATTTCAGTGTGGGAACTTGAAACTTTCTCTCTAATAATTTTGAGGAAGTCTAGTCTGACCTACTGAGCGATCTGTGTTACATCAGCTTAACTGTAAGAAGGAAGAAGTGAAGTGGGATGGTACATAACCCTAAAAGTGAAAAGAAGTGGACATCAAACACGAATGGCTCACTAGGAAAACTATCATTTATTAGTTTTAAAAAACATACACTTGAGTACAGCAGATAAAAACTCCCAAAAAGGTTGTTTCTGAGACATTTGTATTTGGAGTACAAAGCTTTTGAAATTTGTACAATTATTTTATTTGCTTCAAGGAGGAACTGTCATTTTACAAATGCTTTAAAAACCTGATAACACACAATCACATTATGGACATAGCAAGGGGACATTGAAAAATAAACATAACAGATATGACATGACTTACATGTTACCTTCTTTATTATTGTACACAATATACAAACTGGTCATTTGTATCATTTCACTCAATACATGCCTAAAGACTTGCTTGGATTAAAAGGAGGATAAATAAATAGACATGTAACTCTAAATGAGGTAAATGCAAATATGGAGAGTGTCTATTAATGCCAATAAAACAAGAAAGAGGGGAGGAGCCTGACAACATGAAACAGGTAATTTTTTTTTTATCAGGCATTTGTGATTACCGACTGTATGACCTGATGCTTTCAAGAGAGCATTTAATAAAGTTACCAGTTTAATTTCTGAGTAGAATAACATTCGTGATTTGAATAGCACATTGTGCCAATATTCAAAAGTAAAAAAAAAAAAAAAAATAGACACTTTCAGTTGGTTACTGAAATACATTGAAAAAAAAAAAAAAAAAGAAGAGATCTGCAAGTTTCAAACACTAAAACTAACATCACTTGCAGACAGTTACAACAGAAACACAGGCAGAAATGAGAGTAACATTTCAGATGCGGCCTCATCTCAGACTGAACAAGGCAGAGAAAATGGAGCACTAGCTAACAGCGAGGAGGGAGGGTAACTGTCTGTCTCTCTATCTGTCTGTCTGGGGGAAAAACACGGCTTCTCCAGGTCTGCTGCAGCCCACAGATGGGGAGGGGAGGGTGAGGAAGGAGCAGAAGAATGAAGACATGTTTTAGACACTGACCAAATCACACAAACGCTTGAAAGTCAAGAGTAATGTTCAATTGGGACAATGTAAATTAACTTCTCATATAGTATTCCATTACTACTTACCTTCACTGACTGAACTAGAACACATTATCTGTGCTTGTCAGAGGACTTATGAGTACCACCATTAAGGAAAAACTTAAGACAGTAAAAGTATTTTCACTTGTTAGATACACACTACAAAGATCAATAGAAAATCTACCACAAGGTAGCTAGATAATAAACATGCCCCTGTGAGATAGCTGTTTCTATAAAGACACAATATTTTGATTTGGTCGTTGCCTTGAATAATCAAATGAAAATATATACAGTACTCAAGGTAATACATTATAATTACAACAAATACTAGAGCTCCAGGAGTTAATACATTTCATAATTTCAGTTCTGAAGTGTTACCCAGAACATTTTAAAAAACAAAAACATTTAAGGATATTGTTTTTTCTCATCCTTTCCGCCGCTGCTGTCCCTCTTCTCCTTCTTCTCAGATTTTTCTTTGTCATGCCTTGACTCCTTCAACAACAGACAGGAAACACACACGTCAATCAAAACATCACTACCGCCCACCAGTGGCACATAGTACACCTGGGCCACCATGTGTTGGCCTTCAGAAAGTATTCATACTTTACTTATTCCGAATTCTGTTGTTACAGACTGAATTCAAAATAGCTGAAATCGATTTTGTCACCCATCTACACACAATACCCCATAATGACAAAGTGAAAACATGTTTTTAGAAATGTTAGCAAATTTATTGAAAATGAAATACAGTGGGGAAAAAAAGTATTTAGTCAGCCACCAATTGTGCAAGTTCTCCCACTTAAAAAGATGAGAGAGGCCTGTAATTTTCATCATAGGTACACGTCAACTATGACAGACAAAATGAGAAAAAAATTCCAGAAAATCACATTGTAGGATTTTTAATGAATTTATTTGCAAATTATGGTGGAAAATAAGTATTTGGTCACCTACAAACAAGCAAGATTTCTGGCTCTCACAGACCTGTAACTTCTTCTTTAAGAGGCTCCTCTGTCCTCCACTCGTTACCTGTATTAATGGCACCCGTTTGAACTTGTTATCAGTATAAAAGACACCTGTCCACAACCTCAAACAGTCACACTATGGCCAAGACCAAAGAGCTGTCAAAGGACACCAGAAACAAAATTGTAGACCTGCACCAGGCTGGGAAGACTGAATCTGCAATAGGTAAGCAGCTTGGTTTGAAGAAATCAACTGTGGGAGCAATTATTAGGAAATGGAAGACATACAAGACCACTGATAATCTCCCTCGATCTGGGGCTCCACGCAAGATCTCACCCCGTGGGGTCAAAATGATCACAAGAACGGTGAGCAAAAATCCCATAACCACACGGGGGGACCTAGTGAATGACCTGCAGAGAGCTGGGACCAAAGTAACAAAGCCTACCATCAGTAACACACTACGCCGCCAGGGACTCAAATCCTGCAGTGCCAGATGTGTCCCCCTGCTTAAGCCAGTACATGTCCAGGCCCGTCTGAAGTTTGCTAGAGTGCATTTGGATGATCCAGAAGAGGATTGGGAGAATGTCATATGGTCAGATGAAACCAAAGTAGAACTTTTTGGTAAAAACTCAACTCGTTGTATTTGGAGGACAAAGAATGCTGAGTTGCATCCAAAGAACACCATACCTACTGTGAAGCATGGGGCTGGAAACATCATGCTTTGGGGCTGTTTTTCTGCAAAGGGACCAGGACGACTGATCCGTGTAAAGGAAAGAATGAACGGGGCCATGTATCGTGAGATTTTGAGTGAAAACCTCCTTCCATCAGCAAGGGCATTGAAGATGAAACGTGGCTGGGTCTTTCAGCATGACAATGATCCCAAACACACCGCCCGGGCAACGAAGGAGTGGCTTCGTAAGAAGCATTTCAAGGTCCTGGAGTGGCCTAGCCAGTCCCCAGATCTCAACCCCATAGAACATCTTTATAGGGAGTTGAAAGTCCGTGTTGCCCAGCGACAGCCCCAAAACATCACTGCTCTAGAGGAGATCTGCATGGAGGAATGGGCCAAAATACCAGCAACAGTGTGTGAAAACCTTGTGGAGACTTACAGAAAACGTTTGACCTGTGTCATTGCCAACAAAGGGTATATAACAAAGTATTGAGAAACTTTTGTTATTGACCAAATACTTATTTTCCACCATAATTTGCAAATAAATTCATAAAAAATCCTACAATGTGATTTTCTGGATTTTTTTTCCTCATTTTGTCTGTCATAATTGACGTGTACCTATGATGAAAATTACAGGCCTCTCTCATCTTTTTAAGTGGGAGAACTTGCACAATTGGTGGCTGACTAAATACTTTTTCCCCCCACTGTACATAAACATCTCATTTACAGGGCCTTTGGAAAGTATTTATACCACTTGACTTTTGTTACGTTACAGCCTTATTCTAAAATGGATGAAGTTGGTTTTTTCCTCCATCTACACACAATACCCCATAATGATGAAGAAAAAACTGGTTTGTAGAAATGTTTGCCTATTGATAAAAAATAAATAAAAAAGTATTCAGACCCTTTACTCAGTACTTTGCTGAAGCACCTTTGACAGCGATTACAGCCTCGAGTCTTCTTGGGTATGACGCGACAAGCTTGGAACACCTGTATTTGGAGAGTTTCTCCCATTCTTCTCTGCAGATCCTCTCAAACCCTGTCAGGTTGGATGGGAAGCGTCACTGCACAGCTATTTTCAGGTCTCTCCAGAGATGTTCGATCGGGTTCAAGTCCGGGCTCTGGCTAGGCCACTCAAGGACATTCTGAGACTCGTCCCAAAGCCACTCCTGCGTTGTCTTGGCTGTGTGCTTAGGGTCGTTGTCCTGTTGTAAGATGAACCTTCGCCCCAGTCTGAGGTCCCGACGCTCTGGAGCAGGTTTTCATCAAGGATCTCTGTACTTTGCTCCGTTCATCTTTCCCCTCGGTCCTGACTAATCTCCCAGTCCCTGCCGCTGAAAAATATCCCCACAGCATGATGCTGCCACCACCATGCTTCACCATAGGGATGGTGCCAGGTTTCCTCCAGACTTGACGCTTGGCATTCAGGCCAAAGAGTTCAATCTTGGTTTCATCAGATTGGCCACTCTACCATAAAGGCCTGATTGGTAGAGTGCTACAGAGATGGTTGTCCTTCTGGAAGGTTCGCCCATCTCCACAGAGGAACTCTGGAGCTCTGTCAGAGTGACCATCGGGTTCTTGGTCACCTCCCTGACCAAGGTCTTGGTGATTCCAAACTGTTCTTGGGGACCTTCAATGCTGCAGAATTCTTTGGGTACCCTTCCCCAGATCTGTGCTTTGACACAATCCTGTCTCTGAGCTCTACGAACAATTCCTTCGACCTCATGGCTTGGTCTTTGCTCTGACATGCACTGTCAACTGTGGGACCTTATATAGACAGGTGTGTGCCTTTCCAAATCATGTCAAATCAATTGAATTTACCACAGGTGGACTCCAATCAAGTTGTAGAAACATCAAAGATGATCAATGGAAACAGGATACACCCAAGCTCAATTTCGAGTCTCATAGCAAAGGGTCTGAATACTTATGTAAATAAGGTATTCTAAAAACATGTTTTCGCTTTGTCATTGTGGGGTATTGTGTGTAGATTGAGGAAAATGTTTTATTTAATCAATTTTAGAATAAGGCTGTAACGTAACAAAATGTAGGAAAAGGGGAGGGGTCTGAATACTTTCTGAATGCACTGTACATAAGTATTCACACCCCTGAGTCAATACATATCAGAATCACCTTTGGAAGCGATTACAGCTGTGAGTCTTTCTGGGTAAGTCTCTAAGAGCCTTGCACACCTGGATTGTACAATATTTGCACATTATTCTTCAAGCTCTTTCAGTTGGTTGTTGACCATTGCTAGGCAGCCATTTCAAGTGTTGCCATAGATTTTCAAGCCGATTTAATTCAAAACTGTAACTAGGTCACTCAGGAACATTCCACTGTATTAATGGCCTTGTGTTTCATGTTTTTGTCCTGCTGAAAGGTGAATTAGTCTCCCAGTGTCTGTTGGAAAGCAGACAACCAGGTGTTCCTCTAGGATTTTGACTGTGCTTAGCTCTATTCCGTTTATTTTTATTCTAAAAAAACTCCCTAGTCCTTATCAATGTTCCCTCTAATTTTCTCCGGCACTGCAAATTTTAGGTCTGCTGAGCGCAAACTTGAACATTGTGAAAAACTTCCGGCGCGCGTTTACTGTGAACACTGAGGCTGTACCCACTTTAAATTACAATTTAAACAGTGGCCAAGTATGCTACTGTGGCTATTTGATCATAATGTAGGCCTACCATCAAAAACAATTGAGAAAAATGCATCCCATAACATTTTAAAATGGAAATGGCTGTTCTATCATTCAGCCTACAGTAGCAGCAAATGTGTTGTGTTCAATGTAGGCCTACATTCCATGAGACTTTTGAAAAAAACATGCAGGGCTTGACATTAACCTGTTTATCCACTTGTCGTTCAGACAAGCAGATGACTGAAAATGAGTTGTTTGATGCAAGAAACCACCTTACAAAATAAAATGTATTATTATTCCCATACCATTATTACAGAGAATCAGACAAATGATGCTACCCTCTGCCTATTGGCTACTTAGCATGCTTATTCAAGACAGTCTCAAAATACAACACTGCCCCTTTAAGACATAAAAAATGCTCTTTACCGGACTTGCTTTTCAAAGATGGCTAGAAATGCACACATTTTGTGCTCTTGTAGGAAGCAACCACTCCCCCCATTGTTGACTAGAAATTCGCTATAACTGGGCTAATAACTCACTAACTAGCAAAGAATATTAACAAATGTGCACAAGTGGCTACAAGCAGCTCTCGCTTTGATCTCAAAACAATCTACTCACGACCACTCATGCTCTCCTGTTCAAAGTGAATGGCACAGATCCATATATGGCAATGGCTATTTGCATATAGGCCTACTGAAGTTCTGATTGGTTATGGTGCACCGGTCTGTCAATGCGATAGAATCCTACAAAATATATTGCAGTTAGTTTTGCATACTAATAAGTCTTGCATAGATCATTTTGTTTCGGTATGTAACATTGAAAACGGCTAATATTGCGCTGAATTGAGCACAATTCCCACAGCAGAGCGAAACGTTGATAGTGTTAACTAAAGGGGAAAACTCTAGAAAATGTAGTGAAGTTCAATCTTGTGCTTCTCTGCACGCGCTGATATTTCATCTGCACGGCAGTCCAAGGGGAACGCGCAGCTTAGAAGGAACATTGGTCCTTACAGATATAGGCATACCCATAATATTATGCAGCCACCACCATGCTTGAAAATATGAAGAGTGGTACTCAGTATTGTGTTGTGTTGGATTCCCCCAACATAACGCTTTGTATTCAGGACATAAAGTTCATTTCTTTGCCTAATGTTTTGCTATTTTAGTGCAAACAGGACGCATGTTTCGGAATATTTTTATTCAGTACAGCCTTCCTTATTTTCACTCTTTAATTTAGGTTAGTATTGTTGAGTAACTACAATGTTGATCCATCCTCAGTTCTCTCCTATCACAGCCATTAAAATCGAACTGTTTTAAAGTCACCATTGGCCTCATGGTGAAATCCCTGAGCGGTTTCCTTCCTCTCCGGCAACTGAGTTAGGAAGGACGCCTATATCTTTGTAGTGACTGGGTTATTTATAAACCATCACAAGTGTAATTAATAACTGCACCATGCTCAATAGGGATATTCAATGTCTGTTTTTTATTTTATTTTTTGGTTATCTACCAATAGGTGCCCTTTGTGAGGCATTGGAAAACCTCCCTGGTCTTTGTGGTTGAATCTGTGTTTGAAATTCACTGCTCAACTGAAAGACCTTACAGGTAATTGTATGTGTGGGGTACAGAGAAGAGGTAGTCATTCCAAAATCATGTTAAACACTACTATTGCACACAGAGTGAGTCCATGCAACATATTATGTGACTTGTTAAGCATATTTTTACTCCTGAACTTATTTAGGCTTGCCATAACAAAGGCGTTGAGTACTTACTGAATCAAGACATTTCAGCTTCTCATTTTTAATTAATTTGAAAAAAATTCTATAAACATAATTCCACTTTGACATTATGGGGTATTGTGTGTAGGCCAGTGACACAAAATCTGAATTTAATCCATTTTAAATTCAAGCTGTAACAACAAAATGTGGAAAAAGTCAAGGGGTATGAACATATGGCCGATAGTTCCTATACCAGACCTGCCAACCTTACGAGTACCACTCGCGACGGAGTGCGTGCGACACACACCGCTCAAATAATTGTTTTGCCTAATAATGATGGCAGAAGAATGCCTCAGTAAGAATGGTAGGCTATAGACTGTTATGGGTACTTTGTACTTGGCTGCTCTTCAGTAGCCAAATTAGAAATATGCTTAAAATGTACAATCAGGGCTCTCCCTAGGATTTTCTGACAAAGTGGTGCTGACGTAGGCCTAAAGTTGGGTAGGGGAGAGGTCCAGAGGGGGTCAGTCAACTTCCCCCTCAGGAAGTTGAAGCATTCTAAAGTTTTGAAAATCTCTGTCATTTACTGAAACCTAGAGTCTTAATTGATTGATTGTTCTGCTAGGGTCCAGGACCGGGGCAGTACTACCTACCTTCTTGCCCCCGGAGGAGTTCCTCTCAGGTTTAGCAGACTCTCCCTTCTCCTTGCTGGAGGACTTTGACCTCTTGGTCTTCTCTTTGTCAGCCGAGACCGGGGAGTCTGAGGAGGGACTGGCGCTCTTGCTGTGTTTGTTGGAGGAATCTGGGAGAGAAGAGGAAGAAGAATAACCAACCATGGATATTGATCATATCCATATTGAAAAGTATGTTTTATTCTGTATTCTTAGGCAGAGAGGTTTGCTTATTATGTACACGGAGATAGCTTACTGGTTCCATTTTCATCTTTTCTGCGTTTGGATTCTAGGCTCATCTCACGGTCAGTGGTCATATGGTCCTAAAAAAAAGACGGTAAATAATTAAGGAGAATGAATCATAACAATCCCACCAGTCTTGACAATCTATGCAAAACTAATAGGTCAGAATTCCTCTGAAGTATTTGGCTGTTAAGTCCTATAGCTATCAAATCGGGGCGGCAGGTAGCTTAGTGGTTAAGAGCGTTGTGCCAGTAACCGAAAGGTCGCTGGTTCTAATCCCTGAGCCGACTAGGTGAAAAATCTGTCGATGTGCCCTTGAGCAAGGCACTTAACCCTAATTGCTCCTGTAAGTCGCTCTGGATAAGAGCGTCTGCTAAATGACTAAAATGTAAATGAAAATGTAAATCAAGATAGATACGGGAACAGGTATAAAATCAGATTAGAACATTCCTTTCCCCATGGAGCCCAGTGTGGGACTTTAACATATCTCTCTTGCGCTCTCAATGCAACATGGCCTGTAAAATACTCACTCTCTTCCTGTCCTTTCGGTCTTTGTCTTCGGTCTTCTTCTCTTTGGAACGGCCCCGGGCATTCTCTGACTCTTTCTTGTCCGTCTCCCTCTCGCTGCTCTTGGACCGCGCGACCGAATTGTAGTTGATGTGGTGCTGTAAGGAATGAGCATACAAACAGACCAAAATATATTATTTTTTTAACGTTTCAAGGCATTCTGTCCACTTACTGGAGGATACCTTGAAATGTGTGTGCTGAAATCTGCCTGTTCTTCTCAGCGTGTGCCTATTACCAAGCCATTAACCTGACAATATAACCCCATATACCCGGGCACACCCTGTAAACTACTATGTGCTGCTGATCATATGAATGAACCCCCTAAGTGGCTCTGACAGTTAGTTCTTGGAGGAAAATCACTAGGAAACAGTCAGAGATAAATTCATTCATTCAACATAGAAACACACAGAAATATAGAGCAGGACTAAAAACAAATTGGAAGAAAAAGAGATTCAAGAGCAGAGAATTCTGGGGCCACAGCAAGCACACCATGGGATCCTAATTCAGCTAACAAGTGATCGTGTGTCCAAAAGCAGTCACTGAGTGTAAGTCACCGATCCACAGTGCATCTTACCACTGCAGAAGTTATGTGGAAGAAACAGTATCTAGTAAAATGGAACATCAGGAACGTTTTCAAGATTGACACTGAAGTTTGATACTACAAAGTTCAACTCTATCCCTAACCATGTGGTCAGAGGTGCACCATCCTCAGTATTCAGACCACAAACAAATACCAAACATTTCCATCCTCGACAACAACTGAGTCACCAGTGACTGTAGCTCAATCCAGAGAGCATAGATATCATCCCAATAACTACACAGCGAACCATGTACACTGTAGGTGATAGGAGACTGGACCATGGGGACTGCGGGCGGTAGATCAAAATATCACAGACTAGCACTGGCCACTGACAGCAGAGCACTGCTACTTGTGCTGCCGTCTAACTCAATAAAAGTTTAACAAGCCAACCTTGTACCTGCTGTATGAATTATTCACCTGGCGTAGCTATCTACAGCGTCTCCAGCTCAGTCTGCAGGGAGAGCATCTAGACAGAGGAATAACTGAGCTATGGCATTGGCTACTGATTTGAGAGGAACCCAATGAATATTGACTAGGGCTTCTAGGGGTTTTGGTGCTGAATAGGAATGGCAGGCTTTGGTCTTAAAACCAGCCTAAAAAACCTAGAGTTTAATAAAGACTTCAAGTGTTTTGCTTTAAACGAATATCAGAAATCAATATGGAACAGAGGCGGGTGAGTGAATGTGTGTGTCTGTGTCAGCGAGAGAGAAAAATAGAGCGAGGTCTGTAATGTGGGCTCAATAGAGGATTACCCATCTCCTTCTCATAGTGTTTTCACAGCACATCACGCGCATAGCTAATGAGTCTCCGCCCGGGCAGGCATCAGGGACAGCCTTAGAAAGTGATCACAGACAGAGGAAGAAATGCCGCCTGCTTAAAATTCTGCCCTTTCGCCTTCTCTTTCCCCCGGTGGCACAATCAGCACTTTTTCACACAACAGTCTGCTGTACTGGACAAGGGCTTTAATCTTTCCCATGACTCCACTGAGCTCATTAAAACGTAGTGTGTAGGTCTGGCTGCCTGACACAGAGTGGACTTAAACAGGAAACTTGACCTAAGGTGGTATCTCAAGTTATACTATTCAGCAATGACTTTTTATTTAAGTCGGATTTATTCGGGCAGTCTGCAAAATGGTACATTTTCCCATTCAATACGTGTGAACTACTAAAGAGCATCAAAGTCCTAACAGACCCCCTCCTCATTGCACTTGGAAAAAGAGAGTGAAGAAGATAACAGTCAAGGTGAATGATAATAGAGAAGTGTTTAGGAGGAGTCCAAACCTTGGATGCAGAGTCCTTGGGTTCGTTGCTATTGTCCTGTAGGAATGAATGGAGACAGATGAGCTGGGGAGTTGTCAGACAGCAGGTCAGGAGAGAGTCGGGAGGAGAAGTGTGTGGGGGGGTGGGGGATGGACGGACCGACGTCACACTTCCTTTCCCTTTGACCTTCAAGGACTAAGGCTTTCACAAGGTTATTAACAGAGGAGAGTTCATATAGCCTTAACAAGGGTCATCTAATCAGCTTTACATTAGATTAGAAAAACCCTGAGAAGTGAGATGAAAATAGTGTCTGATTACTTTCTACAAAAAAATGTGTCTGGAATTAAATGAAGCATCTCAGAGGCTTAGAGAACAGCTGGTATTTTACTTTGTTTGTAGTGCATGTGGTGTAGACTAACAAAACACCTGAACTGTGTGTGTGTCTGACAAAATACATTTAATTTTATGTGTGCTCTGCTCTCCTACGTTTTAGCACTGTTGTTGTCACTTACAGTTGAGAATGGATAAGACACAGGGAGGAGCCCATCTCTCTGGTGGTAGTAAACATTAAGACCTATCACAAGCTTCCAGCAGTTTAGGCAACGCTCCAGCAGATCCAGAAGGCTTCGCCCACACTTTCTCTCTCCCTCTCGCGCTCTCTGTAGTAGTAGGCAGGCTTTATTTTCCTTCTGTACTTTTGCCTGGTGTAAAACTGAGGCTCTCGCTCTTCTCTCTCTATGGGTCTGGGTGCTGGTGGTGCCTGGGGTTCCCACTGCGCGTGTGACAGGGTGGTAGGGGTGTTGAGGGGGGATTGGTGGTTGTAGGCAGGGAAGGGTTGTGGGGGGGCCAAAGGAACGACTGACTCCGTACACATCTTGAGTGGAAGCGAAGGTACAAACTGAGGCTGCATGAGAGCCGATTGAACAGATCAGAGCTAACAGTGGGGACAGATGACGTGGCAGTAGCAGCAGGATGGCTCTCTGCCTCTCCTCCTGTAGCAGATAGAGACTTCCTCTGAAGACATTGTGCCACTGCGGACTCAGCCCACCCCCCGCTGGTTTCCCGTAGATTCAGAGGAAAATAAAAACACCAAGAAATCTTTTCAGCTTGCCGGAAAACAGGAGAAAAAAACTCTTCATCTTGGGTGCTATTTTGAACTGGAAAATACCGATCTTAGAGGGGGGAAAAAATAATCAAAAAAAAATAAAAAATTCAGCTTGATAGTGAAAAAGGAGCAAGCTCCTGACTTTGGAAGCCATTTTACTTGAGGAAAAATAGTGCTCTCAAAAAGAGAAAAAAGGGTGGGGAATATAGAAATGCATAAAAACTCCTCTCGCACGTTTACTGCTTTCCTTCACATGAAAATAAATTAATATTTCAATATATACATTATTCTCTTGGCTAAGTCCTTGATGGTTTTCCCCACTCAGGAAAATATTAAGGAAAAGTCCATGGAATTATTTCCAAACGCCCATGGTTTAGGAAGGTGATTCCAGACGTGGCTCCCGTGTGTGAGAACTCTCCTCGGTGATCTTGAGGGACGATGGAACACGCAACAGTTGGGAACGCTCCGGCAGAAAGGGAAGAAACACGGGCACAGCCTTCCTCAGGCCATACTAACCTTAACAGAGGAGGAATGGGATGGTGAAGAGTGGGTGTCGAGTTTTCGCCTTTTGTGATCTGGAATAAACAGGAGGATTAAATTCAGTTAGTTCTCAACTGGCAAATTCGAACTAATACAGTTGAAGTTGGAAGTTTACATACACCTTAGTCAAATACATTTAAACTCAGTTTTTCACAATTCCTGACATTTAATCCTAGTAAAAATTCCCTCTTAGGTCAGTTAGGATCACCACTTTATTTTAAGAATGTGAAATGTCAGAATAATAGTAGAGAGAATGATTTATTTCAGCTTTTATTTATTTCATCACATTCCCATTGGGTCAGAAGTTTACATACACTCAATTAGTATTTGGTAGCATTGCCTTTAAATTGCTTAACTTGGGTCAAACGTTTCGGGTAGCCTTCCACAAGCTTCCCACAATAAGTTGGGTGAATATTGGCCCATTCCTCCTGACAGAGCTGGTGTAACTGAGTCAGGTTTGCAGGCCTCCTTGCTCGCACATACTTTTTCAGTTCTGCCCAGAAATGTTCTATAGGATTGAGGTCAGGGCTTTGTGATGGCCACTCCAATACCTTGACTTTGTTGTCCTTAAGCCATTTTGCCACAACTTTGGAAGTATGCTTGGGGTCATTGTCCATTTGGAAGACCCATTTGCGACCTCATGATGCCATCTATTTTGTGAAGTGCACCAGTCCCTTTACAGCAAAGCACCCCCACAGCATGATGCTGCCACCCCCGTGCTTCACGGTTGGGATGGTGTTCTTCGGCTTGCAAGCTACCCCCCTTTTTCCTCCAAACATAACGATGGTCATTATGGCCAAACAGTTTGTTTCATCAGACCAGAGGACATTTCTCCAAAAAGTACAATCTTTGTTCCCATGTGCAGTTGCAAACCATAGTCTGGCTTTTTTATGGCGGTTTTGGAGCAGTGGCTTCTTCCTTGCTGAGCGGCCTTTCAGGTTATGTCGATATAGGACTTGTTTTACTGTGGATATAAATACTTCTGTACCGGTTTCCTCCAGCATCTTCACAAGGTCCTTTGCTGTTGTTCTGGGATTGATTTGCACTTTTCGCACCAAAGTACGTTCATCTCTAGGAGACAGAACGCGTCTCCTTCCTGAGCGGTATGACGGCTGCGTGGTCCCATGGTGTTTATCCTTGCGTACTATTGTTTGTACAGATGAACGTGGTACCTTCAGGCATTTGGAAATTGCTCCAAAGGATGAACCAGACTTGTGGAGGTCTACAATTTTTTTTCCTGAGGTCTTGGCTGATTTCTTTTGATTTTCCCATGAGTTTGAAGGTAGGCCTTGAAATACAGTGGGGGGAAAAAGTATTTAGTCAGCCACCAATTGTGCAAGTTCTCCCACTTAAAAAGATGAGAGGCCTGTAATTTTCATCATAGGTACACGTCAACTATGACAGACAAATTCAGAAAAAATTATCCAGAAAATCACATTGTAGGATTTTTAATGAATTTATTTGCAAATTATGGTGGAAAATAAGTATTTGGTCACCTACAAACAAGCAAGATTTCTGGCTCTTACAGACCTGTAACTTCTTCTTTAAGAGTCTCCTCTGTCCTCCACTCGTTACCTGTATTAATGGCACCTGTTTGAACTTGTTATCAGTATAAAAGACACCTGTCCACAACCTCAAACAGTCACACTCCAAACTCCACTATGGCCAAGCCCAAAGAGCTGTCAAAGGACACCAGAAACAAAATTGTAGACCTGCACCAGGCTGGGAAGACTGAATCTGCAATAGGTAAGCAGCTTGGTTTGAAGAAAATCAACTGTGGGAGCAATTATTAGGAAATGGAAGACATACAAGACCACTGATAATCTCCCTCGATCTGGGGCTCCACGCAAGATCTCACCCCGTGGGGTCAAAATGATCACAAGAACGGTGAGCAAAAATCCCAGAACCACACGGGGGGACCTAGTGAATGACCTGCAGAGAGCTGGGACCAAAGTAACAAAGCCTACCATCAGTAACACACTACGCCGCCAGGGACTCAAATCCTGCAGTGCCAGACGTGTCCCCCTGCTTAAGCCAGTACATGTCCAGGCCCGTCTGAAGTTTGCTAGAGTGCATTTGGATGATCCAGAAGAGGATTGGGAGAATGTCATATGGTCAGATGAAACCAAAATATAACTTTTTGGTAAAAACTCAACTCGTCGTGTTTGGAGGACAAAGAATGCTGAGTTGCATCCAAAGAACACCATACCTACTGTGAAGCATGGGGGTGGAAACATCATGCTTTGGGGCTGTTTTTCTGCAAAGGGACCAGGACGACTGATCCGTGTAAAGGAAAGAATGAATGGGGCCATGTATCGTGAGATTTTGAGTGAAAACCTCCTTCCATCAGCAAGGGCATTGAAGATGAAACGTGGCTGGGTCTTTCAGCATGACAATGATCCCAAACACACCGCCCGGGCAACGAAGGAGTGGCTTCGTAAGAAGCATTTCAAGGTCCTGGAGTGGCCTAGCCAGTCTCCAGATCTCAACCCCATAGAAAATCTTTGGAGGGAGTTGAAAGTCCGTGTTGCCCAGCGACAGCCCCAAAACATCACTGCTCTAGAGGAGATCTGCATGGAGGAATGGGCCAAAATACCAGCAACAGTGTGTGAAAACCTTGAAGACTTACAGAAAACGTTTGACCTGTGTCATTGCCAACAAAGGGTATATAACAAAGTATTGAGAAACTTTTGTTATTGACCAAATACTTATTTTCCACCATAATCTGCAAATAAATTCATAAAAAATCCTACAATGTGATTTTCTGGATTTTTCTTCTCTCATTTTGTCTGTCATAGTTGACGTGTACCTATGATGAAAATTACAGGCCTCTCATCTTTTTAAGTGGGAGAACTTGCACAATTGGTGGCTGACTAAATACTTTTTTCCCCCACTGTACATCCACAGGTACACCTCCAATTGACTCAAATGATGTCAATTAGCCTATTAGAAGCTTCTAAAGCCATGACATCATTTTCTGGAATTTCCCAAGCTGTTTAAAGGCACCGTCAACTTAGTGTTTGTAAACTTCTGACCCACTGGAAATGTGATACAGTGAATAAGTGAAATAATCTGTCTGTAAACAACTGTTGGAAAAATTACTTGTGTCATGCACAAAGTAGATGTCCTAATCGACTTGCCAAAATTATAGTTTGTTAACAAGATATTTGTGAAGTGGTTGAAAAACTAGTTATAATGACTCCAACCTAAGTGTATGTAAACTTCCGACTTCAACTGTAGCTCCAATTATCCGTTGACAATGATGAGACAATCAGAAACAGAATAGGAGCAGAGCCAGTGTTGAAGGTCAGGCTGCTTACCCCTCTCAGATTCAGCAGACTCCAATCGGGGAACTGGAGACTTGAGGGACCCGGACACAGCACTCCTGTCTCCTCCCTTCTCCTTGCTCTTGGACTCCTTGGCTCCAGTGTCGCGCTCCCTGGATGGCTCCTTGGGCTCTCCGTTGCCGGCCTTGGCCTTGTCCTCTTTGCTGCTCTTCTCTTCCGCCTTCTGCTTGTCCCGGTCTGCCTTGGGCGTCTTCTCCTTACCCTCACGTGGCGCCCGCTCCTCCTTGCCAACTGCTCCTCTCTCATCCCTCTGCTTCTCCCGCCGGCTCTCCCCCTTGGTCTCTGGAGTGCTGCCTGGAGTCTTCTCCTTCTTCTCTTTTTTCTCCTTCCCGCTCTTTTCCTTGTCATCCCTCTCTTTGATGGCTTTGGTGCTGCGAGGGAAACAGAATGGACATGGTTCAGAGTTCAACATTGACAACATCCTACGGACGCGCAGATAAGCAAGAGCCAAGGCTGATTCAACATTCTCTTATAATATTTTCTTCACACAGAAATCATAGAGTAATTCTTTAATCCCTGTATATAATCACACGAGGCAAAACTTTAGATGTCTAGTCTTTATATCCACCAGTTCAAAGTGCAGTGTTAGATTTCAATCAGGTGATTTACTGACTGACTAATATTCAAACAACTGATCGATCTCTTTCCTGTTTTATTCAGCCTTTTTTACATATTAATGAGCTATAGTAGAGAACAGTAAATAAATAAATAAAGTTGTTTCCCAGCCCCAGTGCTGTGGGCTGATAAACTGGCTGGCCTCCATGCCTACCTGTTAGGAGCACCATTCCCGTTGCTGGTGGTCACTTTGGCCGCTGTGCTGTTGGCTTTGTTCACCGGCTTCGCCGTCCCCTGAGATTTATCCTTGGATCGATCTATCAAAGCATGAAGCAGCAACAGCATGAACACAATGGCCCTTTCAATAAAACAACTGACCCATGCTAATTAAAACTATAACACCCGTCATATTGTGTGTGACATGTAACCACAAGGTAAATATCATTGCTGGGGGGGATGGATGTTCTAATATTTTCCTATCAGCTCATCTTATGATAGAAGGCCAGATCCCAGTGCAAACTGGTTGGATCTCCCCACTTACCGGCGTCCTCGCTGACTCCCTCCTCAGTCTTGCTGGCGTTGGTGGCAGGTTTGGCCGTGGTGCCAGGGCCGTTCTGCTGGCTGACAGGGGTGGTGCTCCTCATCGGCTGCTCCTTGTGGTGGAACTCATTCTCAGGGACCATGTGCGCCTTCCTGCCTTTCAACTGGCCAGAATAGCTGCAAAACGCATGGAGGGTTACACAAGGTAAAAGCAGGGCAATCATACAGCATTACACCCCATACACATGCTTACGCACATACCCATAGACATACCACAGAAACAAAACTCTCCCACAGAGGCACTCAATAACATAATGATCATATCATTCCACTTACACACACTAGGGATGTGCATCTATCCTTACAAGCACGATTCGATACGCATCTAGATACATGGGCTCCGATACAGGAACGATACTTTCAGTTTGAAACGATTCGGTGCGATTCGATTTCATTAGTGGAACGAATCGATGCGATTCGGTTTGATTCAATGCACTAACAATTGTTGCATGAACAAATTCATTTTCCATTCTAAATTAATATCTGATACTGATGGAGCTGAGCTGGATTTGTCTGAGCCGACTTCTCTGAGCAGCCCTGTGCGTGCGTGTGTGTGTATATATGATGTAGTGTGTGAGCTGGCAATTTATGTTTTGTCCGAAATCCTGATCACCCACTGATGGACTTGTCATATAGCAGATAAAAATGTATTGTGCTAGTAATATGTCAATGTTTATCTACAGAAATTAGCCATGAAATACATAGCTAATTCATATAACACAGCTTTGGATTTCACCACAGTCTCAAAAGAGAACGGTTTTGAACGTTTGGAACTTTACGAAGGAGAGCTGCTCTCTTCTCCTGTTCTGACCAGTGCAGCTCGCAAAACTTATTGCTGTCCTTGTTATGAAATTACACCTTTACCCTGTGCATGTAAAAATGACCAAATGCACAGACTGTTTAAAGCAGAACTGCCAAAAATATTTAGTACGGAGAACCTGCCAATTGAAAAGTCCCAATCAGCAGTTAGATGTGCAATCAGCAAGATGTGAGCTGTGTCCACTCCGGTAGCCTACACAGCTCCGCCGGTAAAACACAATTTTCAACAGCGCATTTGGTAACAATGACCCATCCAATTACATTGATTGTCCCTCAAAGCCTATGATTTAATATTTCGAAAGCCATTTTACAAACATCTGAATGCTGAAGGTGCCGTGCAGATGTAGCCTACCATTATTAGAACAGGGATAGGGTAGGCCTACCTCTCATTGGCGCAAGCAGCTGTGTCTCCTGCACTGTGCACACAGTTGTTATCTGACTTGTAGATCAAAGTCATACACAGTTACATGCATACAAGTTTGATAGGCTGAAGGAGAGGAAGCATCAATTCAGTCACAACAGATTATAAGTATTTTTCGGAATAAGGCAGAACAAAATAATAAAACGTTTGTGAAACGGCGATTTCGTAACGTTTTAATACTTTTTCTTACCAATGCATGCTTCATTTGGATCGGTTTGGGCTCCCGTGGACCGATGCGCTTGCATCTTAAACATTTGAACTAGGGGTCGATGCGTATCGGTGAATCGTTACATCCCTAACATACACACACACACACACACACACACACGAGATCGGTATCTCTCTAAGTGAGGATTTGCCAGGTACATCCTGTAAAGCTCTGTAGAGGATTATGTTTGTTTAGCTGTCTGAAGTGCTTTACAGCAGCACCAGGTGACTGACTGAATCCCAAGCAGGCAGACAGTCAGCTAGACTAGGCCCACACCTTAATGAATTATCAGCCCTCATTACCACACCAGCTCCTTAAGGCTCATCCTCTACTAGTCACTACAACTAGCCCACCCGACTAGAATCACCACTCTCGATGGGTCTGACCTAGAGTATGTGGACAACTACAAATACCTAGATGTCTGGTTAGACTGTAAACTCTCCTTCCAGACTCACATTAAGAATCTCCAATCCAAAGTTAAATCTAGAATCGGCTTCCTATTTCGCAACAAAGCCTCCTTCACTCATGCTGCCAAACATGCCTTCGTAAAACTGACTATCCTACCGATCCTTGACTTCGGCGATGTCATTTACAAAATAGCCTCCAACACTCTACTCAGCAAATTGGATGTAGTCTATCACAGTGCCATCCGTTTTGTCTCCAAAGCCCCATACACTACCCACCACTGTGACCTGTACGCTCTTGTTGGCTGGTCCTCACTACATGTTCGTCCTCAAACCTACTGGCTCCAGGCCATCTATAAATCACTGCTAGGCAAATCCCCGCCTTATCTTAGCTCATTGGTCACCATAGCAGCACCCACCCGTAGTCTGCGCTCCAGCAGGTATATCTCACTGGTCATTCCCAAAGCCAACACCTCCTTTGGCCGCCATTCCTTCCAGTTCTCTGCTGCCAATGACTGGAACGAATTGCAAAAATCTCTGAAGCTGGAGACTCTTATCTCCCTCACTAACTTTAAGCATCAGTTGTCAGAGCACCTTACCGATCACTGCACCTGTACACAGCCCATCTGAAATTAGCCCACCCAACTACATCCCTATATTGTTATTTATTTTGCTCTTTTGCACCCCAGTATCTCTATTTGCACATAATCTCTTGCACATCTAGCATTCCAGTGTTAATACTAATTGTAATTATTTTGCACTATGGCCTATTTATTGCCTTACCTCCATAACTTGCTACATTTGCACACACTGTATATATATTTTCTGTTGTATTTTTTGACTTTATGTTTTGTTTTACCCCATATGTAACTCTGTGTTGTTGTTTTTATCGCACTGCTTTGCTTTATCTTGGCCAGGTCGCAGTTGTAAATGAGAACTTGTTCTCAACTGGCTTACCTGGTTAAATAAAGGTGAAAAAAATAAATAAAAATAAAATAAAAAAGACAAAGTACGAAGATCACTGAGCTGTTCTCACAACTCTGTTTAGATAATCCACAACAAGTACAACTCAACCTTCCCTAATTATAATTCATCCAATACTACTTCATTTATACCTCTGTAGTTATTTTTGCATTAAAAGTACACACCTCCATTTAACACCACCATTTGTTGGTACTAGCTTCACAACAAACTGAAAATGCTTACAGCAAAATGCTAGGTAACCACTTGCCACTTATGCCCCACAATAAATTACAACCCCCACAATGATAGTAAACTGTGACTGTGCTGCACTGCACACAATGCGGCTGGTAGACTCTGTGTTACCCCATGGCTAAGGCATAGAGGTCTGGCCTCTTCTCCTTCTCCTCCAGACAGATCTTGTGGACGCGGCACTCCAGCGCCTGGCCCAGGTTCAGCACTTTTGGGTAGCAGGACAGGATCTTGGTCAGCACGATCAGGATGTTCCGGATGTGGGTGTACTCCCCCGTCTCCAAGCAGTGGACTGATGCCTGGAGGGCACAGAGGGAGAGAGGGGAGGAGGGGTGTATTGCTGCATTCACACATTCCACTGCGCTCCGATTATACTGTACATATACAGAGGAGACATGACTCTTCACGTTTGAGGAGCTTCTCACTCAGTTTGAGCGGGTACTATTTCCTGCTAGCGTTGTTGGTCACGTTTCCTTTCATTTAAACTATTGAATTCTGAATAATGCTAGTAAATGAATAGGAGTTAATAAGACAAAAAGACCAGATTGACTTCTTCAGAAGGCAATGAAACAAAGGGAGAAACTCACTTTAGTCAGCTTGTAGTGCCATTTGTGCACCACATGTCTGAAGTTCTCATAGTCCAGCTGGTCTGCTTTGTTCCCTCCGTCAAAGCCTGTGGCTCTGAAAATGGTCAGGAAGCCTGGGTAGTTACCACACTCCTTGAAGAGGGAACAACAAACAGACAAGATGAAATGTTAACACACATTACTGAGAGAGAGGATGTAATGTGTGTGTGTGTGTGTGTGTATGAGTGTGTGAGTGAGTGCGAGAGAGAGAGAGGGAGAAAGTAATGTGTGTGAGATCGAGATAGGTGGTCACCTCACCTTCTCGTAGACAGCGCGGTCGCTGTGCCAGCGGGTCACCGTCTCCAGCATGCAGCACAGGAAGCGTCCGTAGCGCCGCGACTCGTTCTCCGTGCAGCTGGCCACCGTGTAGATGATGTCAGAGAACACCTGCAGATAGGACCATGCAACACAGTTAGGAGGTCAGGGCGGAGTAACTAAGTGACGGAAATCCCATGGTATAATGACATGTGACAACCAGAGATAGTAGAGGGCAAAAAGGCAGAAAGGTGAGAGCAAGAAAGAGAGAGAAAGGGAGAAGTCTCACCCGGTCATAGCAGAGCAGGGTGCAGAAGTTGGGGGTCTTCTGCTGGTGCACCAGCTCCACAAAGCGGGCACAGTACACAGCGTCGATGGCAGAGAAGATACAGCGAGGAAACAGACACAGCTGCAGGAACTTAGTGATGGTCTCATTCTTGGTGGATTCTGAGCGAGGGAGAGGGAAGGGATTGATAAAAAGAAGGATGTGAGAACAGTGAATTAGACTTACCATCAACTAACTCGCATGACTCATCTTTAGAGTGACTCAGAGGTAATTCTTCAAACAAGATTTGAGGTTAAACCCACTCTTTTAAAATGTCATTAGCGTGGGTTGTATAGCTGTACAGTGAAATCGTTAATATGACTGACGTTTTCTTTAATGAAATGGGAGAGTTGTCATCTGCCATTAGCCCAGATCCTCTAAAACAGACTTTGGGGCCATTACATCAAACAACTCGTCATGCCCGTTAACTGGGCTAAAACAAACAAGGTGAGGCTGGTTTTGTGAAGCCTCCTGGGAGCTGAGGGGGTTTGACTGTGGTGTTACTGTCCCAATTCAGTATTGTCCCCCAATGGGAACAGAAAGCTGGGTAAGGGAGGGTCTGCTGGGATTAGTGCTGTGATGAGCAGTCAGCGGTGTCTGTGTCTGTGAGAGATAGAGGGGGAGGGAGAGAGAAGGAGAAATAGAGAGCGAGCGCAAAAATCATCTTACTGGCGAGGAGCCAGTTGTCCTTCTCTAGTTTGAGGCGGTGCAGGACCCTCTGGACGTGCTCCAGCTGTTTCTTCTCCTCTTCCTGCAGCTTGTCCTGTAGGGCCGTGCAACGCTCCTTCTCCTTCTTCTTCTTGTTCATCGGCTACAGACAGACACCATAGACAGACAAGCAGGCTGCTGTTTAGACAGGGTGAACACATACAGAGAGAAAACACTAATAACAACTTAGAGGTCAAGCACAATACAATTACAGTACACTTTTACCATTACCCTCCAAGTCAAGTGATAATTGGAGAACATTGCATTTAGATGAACTGGAAGATGAGAATAGTCTCTACGTGCTTCAGTGTTGTCTTTTCCTACTAGCGCCGACTTCACTGATAACTACTTTGAGGGAAAATGTTCCCTGACACCCAAAAGTACTAGTTACAGTATATTTTGAATGCTTAGCATGACAGGAAAAATGACCCAATTCACACACTTATCAAGAGAACATCCCTGGGCATCCCTACTGCCTCTGATCTGGCGGACTCGTTAAACACAAACGCTTCATTTGTAAATGATGTCTGCGTGTTGTAGTGTGCCCCTGGCTTATTTATACTTTTACTGTTGATAGTTAAATATATTTCAAACCAAATACTTTTACTCAAGTAGTATTTTACTAGGTGACTTTCACTTTTTCACAATTTTCTATTAAGATATCTTTACTTTTACTCAAGTATGACAATTGGGTACTTTTTCAACCACTGCTAAAATGTAATAAAAATGTGTTGTCATCAAGGGGTCTGATAGATGCCTGAGTCGTGTTTATAGTATCAGGCACCAAATTGAAGAAAACAGACTGACAAAGGGGGGAACAGGATCTGGACTTGACCAATAAGAAAAGCTAATTTTGGTTTGAATGCGGTGTCCGTTGTATGCTCTAATGAACACGACCATGATGATGTGACTCACCACATCAGGGTTCTCCTCGATAGCCTTGACCTGGACCTGGAGCTTCTTCACCTCGCGGTCGTAGGCGTTGTGTGGCACGGCCAGGTCGTACATGGTCAGCGACCAGAAGGTGGCGTAGAACTGGGGTCGGAGGTCATCCCAGACACGGGGCGGGTGCAGGGACACCACGGCCTCGTGCACCGGCGACATCACCAGCTCGCACGCAGCCACGTACTTATGGACCTTCTGCTGCTGCCGGTTGCTCTTCTCAGCTTTCTTCAGCTCATCATACTTAGACTAGGGAGAGAGGAGGGGACACTCAGTTACTGTCTCCTTTACATGGTAAGATTCACAAACGGGTTGATATACAGTATGTTTCAGTATAGGAGTTTACAGTCCGATTCTCCCTGGCTTTGAAAGCAGCAGCCTGGGTCAGCCTGTCCATGGTGCTGTACTATACATGACTCCCAGCAGGACAGTGGGTCTGATCTGTTCCCAGACACACAACCTGACTGAGTCAATTTCCTCATGATGGATGCGTGTCAGATGTGATTGTTCAGATGGCGTGACCATGCCGTGTGACGGCAGCAGAGAGGCACCTCGGGATGTTTCAAGTCCGGCCAGGGGGACAGTAAATCCGGTTACACAGCACATGGCATGGAGGGCGGCTGTCGCCCTCTCGAACTGAAACCATCCTTCTTTCAGGGTTCTACATGGCCAGTGTTCTCAAAGCATTACAGTGCACATCAATTCAAAGTTACAGTCTTATGTATTGAATTTATTAGTAGATAGTTTATACTCGCGGTATCCATTGGTCATACTGTACAGACTAAAGGTGAAGTGCCAGAGGGAAGGAGAGACTACTCACCAGGATCTGATGTCCATACATGGGGCGTGAGAGGAAGAAGGCAGCGTCGTGGGGAGTGTGGAACTGGTTACAGAGGATGTCAATGGAGGGAACACGCTTGATGTAGTCCTCAGTACTCAGGTTGGAGGCCAGGAAGCCACCAAACTGCACTAGGGTGTCGTGACACTGTAGCCAGGGGACAGGGAGTCAGAGAATGGCACCCTTATCCATATTTAGTGCACTACTTTTGGGCTCTGGTCAAAAGCAGGGGTTGGAATCAAAATAATTTTCCAATAGTTTAGTTCTAAACAGAATCATACTTTTTCCTCATTCCATTCCACTGTTCCGACATGCAAAATAATGTTCTGAACTGGTTCGTACCAAAAAAAGTACCGGTTTATATTGGTCCTTTTTAAACCTCTGCTTGACATTAAATTACTTCACCAATCAGTGCGGATAGAGCAGCTTAGAGCAGTTTGCTATGGAGCGGGCAAGCTGTAGTTGTTTTAGCCTAGGCAGCCGATAGTACATGGGCGCTATTGGCTGCCTAGGCTACATTACATTAACATCATTTAGCAGACGCTCTTATCCAGAGCGACTTACAAATTGGTGCATTCAATTTGTAAGTCGTTTACATGTGCGATGGACAGACAAGTGGAGGGCGCGAGATGCAACTGACATTTTGCGGGTGGGGAGAGTGAGAGTGGGTGGAGGAGGCTTGGCTTGAAGCACGGGGCATTGTTATGAAATGCATTATCTGAATTTGGCCCACAGAATTATAGCGACGGAGGAGCGGGTTCTATGGAGGAAATTTGAATGTCTTTGAACTTCCCGAGAGTTGGCTTAAAGTTGGACCAGAGCTAGCTAACAATCTTGTGTGTGCAGAGCGCCACCAGAATTAAAAAAACGTCTTACCTTTTTGTAGTTAATAAAGCCAACGTGAAACGTGATACAGTGAGGGGAAAAAAGTATTTGAACAAAAAAATCCAGAAAAACGCATTTAAATTTTTTTATAAATTGATTTGCATTTTAATGAGGGAAATACGTATTTGACCCCATCTCAATCAGAAAGATTTCTGGCTCCCAGGTGTCTTTTATACAGGTAACGAGCTGAGATTAGGAGCACACTCTTAAAGGGAGTGCTCCTAATCTCAGCTTGTTACCTGTATAAAAGACACCTGTCCACAGAAGCAATCAATCAGATTCCAAACTCTCCACCATGGCCAAGACCAAAGAGCTCTCCAAGGATGTCAGGGACAAGATTGTAGACCTACACAAGGCTGGAATGGGCTACAAGACCATCGCCAAGCAGCTTGGTGAGAAGGTGACAACAGTTGGTGCGATTATTCGCAAATGGAAGAAACACAAAAGAACTGTCAATCTCCCTCGGCCTGGGGCTCCATGCAAGATCTCACCTCGTGGAGTTGCAATGATCATGAGAACGGTGAGGAATCAGCCCAGAACTACACGGGAGGATCTTGTCAATGATCTCAAGGCAGCTAGGACCATAGTCACCAAGAAAACAATTGGTAACACACTACGCCGTGAAGGACTGAAATCCTGCAGCGCCCGCAAGGTCTCCCTGCTCAACAAAGCACATATACAGGGCCATCTGAAGTTTGCCAATGAACATCTGAATGACTCAGAGGAGAACTGGGTGAAAGTGTTGTGGTCAGATGAGACCAAAATGGAGCTCTTTGGCATCAACTCAACTCGCCGTGTTTGGAGGAGGAGGAATGCTGCCTATGACCCCAAGAACACCATCCCCACCGTCAAACATGGAGGTGGAAACATGCTTTGGGGGTGTTTTTCTGCTAAGGGGACAGGACAACTTCACCGCATCAAAGGGACGATGGACGGGGCCATGTACCGTCAAATCTTGGGTGAGAACCTCCTTCCCTCAGCCAGGGCATTGAAAATGGGTTGTGGGTGGGTTTTCCAGCATGACAATGACCCAAAACACACGGCCAAGGCAACAAAGGAGTGGCTCAAGAAGAAGCACATTAAGGTCCTGGAGTGGCCTAGCCAGTCTCCAGACCTTAATCCCATAGAAAATCTGTGGAGGGAGCTGAAGGTTCGAGTTGCCAAACGTCAGCCTCGAAACCTTAATGACTTGGAGAAGATCTGCAAAGAGGAGTGGAACAAAATCCCTCCTGAGATGTGTGCAAACCTGGTGGCCAACTACAAGAAAAGTCTGACCTCTGTGATTGCCAACAAGGGTTTTGCCACCAAGTACTAAGTCATGTTTTGCAGAGGGGTCAAATACTTATTTCCCTCATTAAAATGCAAATCAATGTATAAAAAATTTTAAATGCGTTTTTCAGGAAATTTTTTTTGTTATTCTGTCTCTCACTGTTCAAATAAACCTACCATTAAAATTATAGACTGATCATGTCTTTGTCAGTGGGCAAACGTACAAAATCAGCAGGGGATCAAATACTTTTTTTCCCTCACTGTAACTATAGTATCTGTAACTAGCATTGAAAAAGTTAATTGATTCTTCTCTAATGAAAAGTCTCTCCCTTTTTTCCGAATCATGCTTGTAACGTCAGTAGGCTGCAGCAGCCTAAGACTCAGAGGGGGAGGGGCAGGTTGCCGACACACGCACACACTGGCAAAGACTTTCAGCTGGCAGGCAGACACGGGAATACGTTTCTGAGTTACTGAGTGAGGGCTTTGCATTTGCTTTGAAAACAACGGTTCTGTTCCGAAACAGTATCGACTAACTGGTGCCCTGGAACATTGACTCTGTACCGGTAACCCCTTTATATAGCCTCGCTACTGTTATTTTTACTGTTATTTTACTACTTTTATTTTTTTTTTACTTATCTATTGTTTACTTAACATGTATTTTTCTTAAAACGGCATTGTTGGTTAAGGGCGTGTAAGTAAGAACTTCACTGTAAGGTCTACACCTGTTGTATTCGGCGCATGTGACAAATACAATTTGATTTGATCACTTCCGTTCCTGGTTCTGATTCTGTTCCTCAAAAATGTTTGTTGATTTATGTTCTGTTCCCTGAACCGGTTCAAACCACTGGTCAAAAGTAGTTCTCTATCACTGGAGGTTGGTGGCACCTTAATTGGGGAGGACGGGCTCGTGGTAATGGCTGGCGTGGAATCAGCTGAATGTATCAAACATGGTTCCATGGGTTTGATGCCATTCCATTTACTCCGTTCTGTCCACTATTATGAGCCGTCCTCCCCTCAGCAGCCTCCTGTGTGCTCTATATAGGAAATAGGACACAGCCATCTATTTTGGACACAGCCAGAGAGTTCATTCTCCCTTATTGCACAGCCATGTTTGTGTGCTATTAGTCCCATAGCTTCTCATTCGTTTAAAGACACAACCTGGTTTATTCAAACCATCCATCAATGTGGCCCAATACTGCAAAGAGGCAATCTTTTAGATTATCGCTGAGGAAAGCTCACAGCTCCAGGCAACATGGGGGAATTGAACCAAACATAATTGTCAGCTGTGTAATGTTTAAGAATTTTAGTAATGAGAAAAGGGGAGGATTCCATTCATCTGCACTCCCCTGATGTAGCTTATCGACATGACTTCAAGTTACCCTCTGTGCTTATCAATATGCTATTTTAAAGGCAATGACAGATTGACTATTTAATTAACTCTAAATGGGAGAACCCTCCAAGGCGTGAAACTAGTGTACAGTACCAGTCAAAAGTTTGGACACACCTACTCATTCCAGGGTTTTACTTTATTTTTACTATTTTCTACATTGTAGAATAATAGTGAAGACATCAAAACTATGAAATGACACATATAGAATCATGTAGTAAACAGAAAAGTGTTAAACAAATCAAACTATATTTTATATTTGAGATTCTTCAAATAGCCACCCTTTGCCTTGATGACAGCTTTGCACAATATTAGCATTCTCTCAACCAGCTTCATGAGGTAGTCACCTGGAATGCATTTCAACTGCTCAAATAAGCAAAGAGAAACGACAGTCCATCATTACTTTAAGACATGAAGGTCAGTCAATACGGAACATTTCAAGAACTTTGAAAGTTTCTTCAAGTGCAGTCGCAAAAACCATCATGCGCTATGATGAAACTGGCTTTTCTGAGGAACGCGACAGGAATGGAAGACCCAGAGTTAACTCCGAAGTAGAGGATAAGTTCATTAGAGTTACCAGCCTCAGAAATTGCAGCCCAAATAAATGCTTCACAGAGTTCAAGTAACAGACACATCTCAACATCAACTGTTCAGCGGGAACTGTGTGTATCAGGCCTTCATGGTCGAATTGCTGCAAAGAAACCACTACTAAAGGACACCAATAAGAAGAAGTGACCTGCTTGGGCCAAGAAACACGAGCAATGGACATTAGACCGGTGGAAATGTATCCTTTGTTCTGGAGACCAAATTGGAGATTTTGGGTTCCAACCACCGTGTCTTTGTGAGACGCGGTGTGGGTGAACGGATGATCTCTGCATGTGTATTTCCCACCGTAAAGCATGGAGGAGGAGGTGTTATGGCGTGGGGGTGCTTTGCTGGTGACACGGTCTGTGATTTATTTAGAATTCAAGGCACACTTCACCAGCATGGCTACCACAGCATTCTACAGCGATACGCCATCCCATCTGGTTTGGGCTTAGTGGGAATATCATTTGTTTTTCAACAGGACAATGACCCAACACACCTCCAGGCTGTATAAGGGCTATTTTACCAAGAAGGAGAGTGATGGAGTGCTACATCAGATGACCTGACCTCCACAATTCCCTGACATTAACCCAATTGGTTTGGGATAAGTTGGACCGCAGAGTGAAGAAAAAGCAGCCAACGAGTGCTCAGCATATGTGGGAACTCCTTCAAGACCGTTGGAAAAGCATTCCAGGTGAAGCTGGTTGAGAGAATGCAAAGCTGTCATCAAGGCAAAGGGTGGCTATTTGAAGATTCTCAAATATAAAATATACTTTGATTTGTTTAACACTTTTTCTTTACTACATGACTCCATATGTGTTATTTCATAGTTTTGATGTCTTCACTTTTACTACAATGTAAAAAATAATAAAAAAACCCTTGAATGAGTAAGTGTGTCCAAACTTTTGACTGGTAGTGTAAGTAATGCTGTAAAGGGGTTCAGTACGTACCTGGTCGTACAGCTTGCCCACCAGTTTGAGGTGTTTCTCGCCCCCCTCCAGAAAGACCACCCCGTTGCGTTGCTGGGCCATGAGGAGACAGAGGGGCAGGGCCAGATCATGGTCCAACAGGGCATCCTTTAGACGCTGGGACGACTTCTTAGTGTTACGGATCTGACCAAAGTAACCACCCTGGGGACAGAAAATATAATTGAATTGTTTCAAGTCATGCTGAGCAATAGCCAACTAACGCAATGTGCCTCAGCTTTGAGCTGGTCATGGTGTTCCAAGTCAGACCAAACATGGTCCTGTACCTCAGCTTTGAGCTGCTCCCCTCCAGTCATAGCTTCCATCTGCTCTGACGTCATCTCGTCAGTGATCTCGATGCCGGCCATCTTCTGCACCACCTCTTTTAGAATCAGCAGGTCAAAACTGCAGCGGGGGACGGGACAACATAATCACATTGTATACATATTTGTGAACGCAGACAAACAAATAACATGTGCGCATACACAAAAATAAACATAGGTAAAAAAACAAACAAGGTTGGGGGCGAAAACAACTGTGGGAGTAGCTAAGGACAGCGCACTAATAATAACATAATTCAGCAAATCTACATGACAGAATTATATTCCATGCTGTTTCATTGGCGCTGTGGCAGAGTGCCACCTCTATTTACTTCCCCTGCATCCCTGGCCCTGGAAAGGACTGATCTGAACTGATGGGAGAGGGAGGGAGGGAGGGAGAGAGAGAGAGAGGGAGGGAGGGAGGGAGGGAGAGATAGATCGAGATGGGGAGAGAGAGATGAGATGAGAGAGTGGCCATGGAGCCCAGTGTGATTCACTACCTGCCGACTCCAGGCATTACAGGGAGACCAGCGCTGATATAATTACCCTTCCCTCCTCCTCTTTGGGAGCCCAAACCCCCACAGTCAGCAGCCTCCTCATCAACACCACATTACTCAGCAGCTCTGCCCAGTTCAGATCCCTGCAGGGAGGCACAACAGTTCAGACCCCTCTCCATCTCCCTCTGCCCCTCTCGCTCTCAGCCCTAGGCCCTGGCCTTATACTGCTACAGGAGGAACAGACTACGTCCATCCCGGTTTTGATTCATGAGAAACCAGACAGAGACGGAGGGGACCCCAGTTGACTGACTATGAGCGACAGACTCCATCACTATGAATCACATCAGATCCAGCAAGTCATTGAGGCACCGTCTGCCAGCACAGGAGTTATAGTTACCTCTTCCCTGCTTTCAGCGTATTGGTCACATACTGGAGGAGGCCGGCCAACTCGATTGGGTATTTCCTGAACACTGCTCCACACAGACTGGCCAGGCCTGGAGATAGGAGACAGGAGAAAAGTCAGCAGTCAATCAGTTGGCAAGCAGACATACATATGTTACATAAAATACAGTCAACTAAAGTATAGAGTTGCACTGGGATGTAACTACATGGATCAAAAAAGTACACCTTAATGCCTCTTTGATAATAACACTGATTCGTGACATCAGGGTCGTGTTTGGTAGGGTACACTGTAGCAAAACATTTTGTAATGGAAAACAAAAATGTGTGTTCTTAATGGAAAAGTTCAGGTAGTACCTCCATGTTTCACTACATTTCCAAATATTTTCTCCCAACTGAATACAATCCATGTCAAATAATCCCGCCCCCACATTGCTGTAGTTGAACCCTTGCAAGGAAGAACCATATACAGTGCCTTTGGAAAGTATTCAGACGCCTTGACTTTTTCCAAATGTTGTTACGTTACAGCCTTATTCTAAAATTGATTAAGTTGTTTTTTGTCATCAATTTACACACAATACCCCATAATGACAAGACAAAAACTGGTTTTTAGAATGTTTTGCTAATTTATTAAAATATCACATTTACTTAATTATTCAGACTGTTTACTCAGTACTTTGTTGAAGCTCCTTTGGCTGCGATTACAGCCATGAGTCTTCTTGGGTATGACGCTACAAACTTGGCACACCTGTATTTGGGGAGTTTCTCCCATTCTTCACTGCAGATCCTCTCAAGCTCTGTCAGGTTGGATGGGGAGCGTTGCTGCACAGCTATTTTCAGGTCTCTCCAGAGATGTTCGATCGGGTTCAAGTCCGGGCTCTGGCTGGGCCACTCAAGGACATTCAGAGACTTGTCCCGAAGCCACTCCTGCGTTGTCTTGGCTGTGTGCTTAGGGTCGTTGTCCTGTTGGAAGATGAACCTTTGCCCCCAGTCTGAGGTCCTGAGCGCTCTGGAGCAAGTTTTCATCAAGGATCTCTCTGAACTTTGCTCCGTTCATCTTTGCCTCGATCCTGACTAGTCTCCCAGTCCCTGCTGCTGAAAAACATCCCCACAGCATGATGCTGCCACCACCATGCTTCACCGTAGGGATGGTGCCAGGTTTCCTCCAGAATCTTGTTTCTCATGGCCTGAGAGTCTTTAGGTGCTCATTTACATTTACATTTTAGTCATTTAGCAGATGCTCTTATCCAGAGCGACTTCGAGGAGCAATTAGGGTTAAGTGCCTTGCGTAAGGGCACAGACAGATTTTTCACCTAGTCGGCTCGGGGATTAGAACCAGCGACCTTTCGGTTACTGGCACAACGCTCTTACCCACTAAGCAACCTGCCGCTCATGGCTTGGTTTTTGCTCTGACATGCACTGTCAACTGTGGGACCTTATATAGACAGGTGTGTGCCTTTCCAAATCATGTCCAATCAATTGAATTTACCACAGGTGGACTCCAATCAAGTTGTAGAAACATCTCAAGGATGATCAATGGAAACAGGATGCACCTGAGCTCAATTTCGAGTCTCATAGCAAAGAGTCTGAATACTTATGTAAAAAGGCACTATGTGCATTTAGAAAAATTCTGATATTGTCAAATATATACTTTTTTTCGGAACGTGTATACGTCATCAAGACTGTCATTATTTTAAAAGAATGACATCACACTTCTCTCAATTATTGTGCTAGTTTTTGGTATCATACTTCTTTTGCAATGAAGTCAATCAATTTTTTTTCAAAACGCACACATTTGGTTCTTCATCTGTAGGATTCAGTTAGTGAACTCACTCTGAAGCCAGGAGGAGATCGTAGTGTCGTCATGTTTCATCTTCTCTTTCTCTGGATTTGCCAGCGCTTCAATGATGCAATCTATAGGCAATAAGTTAAGGGGTACAACACTGCACGTCTTAATACATTCTGCCTACGTTAGCATTCCAAATACATGCTTAAACATAGTTCTGAATATGTATAAATACATGGGCAAAAACTGCAAGTCACGAAATGGCAGATTAAGGATACAGGCCATGACGTCATAGTTGAGTGAGGTGAGGTATTTAAGGGAGTCTACCACTGGACCGATGAGGTTGTCATACCACTGGATCTGAGACAGGATCTGAGAGGGACAATAATACCTGGTTAATACAATACAGGCACAACAACAGGCCTCATCACACGCATACACAACACCTGCCAGAGGATGATCATAAAAGATAAGATGATATCTAAAACATCCACCCAGCTGTTATATACACTGAGTGTATAAAACATTAAGAACACCTTCCGAATACTGAGTTGCACCTCCTTTTGCCCTCAGAACAGCCTCAATTTGTAAGGGCATGACTCTACAAGGTGTTGAAAGCGTTCCACAGGGATGCTGGCCCATGTTGACTCCAATGCTTCCCACAGTTGTGTCAAGTTGTCTGAATGTCCTTTGGGTGGTGCACCATTCTTAATACACACGGGAAACTGTTTAGCATGAAAAACCCAACAGCGTTGCAGTTCTTGACACACTCAAACCAGTAGCCTGGCACCTACTACCATACCCCGTTCAAAGGCACTTAAATATTTTGTCTTGCCCATTCACCCTCCGAATGGCACACATACACAATCCATGTCTCAATTGTCTCAAGGCTTAAAAATCTATATATAACCTGTCTCCTCCCCTTCATCTACACTGATTGAAGTGGATTTAACATGTGACATCAATAAGGGATCATAGCTTTCACCTGTTCAGTCTATGTCATAGAAAGAGCAGGTGTTCCCAATGTTTTGTAGACTCAGTGCACATTGATTATTTTTTTTTTTTTGATTCTAGAATAAAATTCCAAATGGTCTGAGAAAACAAGGCTATTGCTCTGCAGTGTCCTCTGAAGGTCCCTTAAACTTTATTATCCTCTCTCCTGGTAAAGCCACCTTATTACATGTTACACTACATCCCTGCACTCCCACTGTGACAGTATGCCATCAGACTCCCCTGTTCCTCCCCAAATGGCCTATACATGGCCAAAAGTATGTGGACACCCGCTCGTCGAACATCTCATTCCAATATCATGGGCATTAATATGGAGTTGGTCTCACCTTTGCTGCTATAACAGCCTCCACTCTTGTGTGAAGGCTTACCACTAGATGTTGGAACATTGCTGCGGGGACTTGCTTCCATTCAGCCACAAGCGCATTAGTGAGGTTGGGCACTGTTGTTGGGCGATTAGGCCTGGCTCGCAGTCGGCGTTCCAATTCATCCCAAAGGTGTTCGATGTGGTTGAGGTCAGGGCTCTGTGCAGGCCAGTCAAGTTCTTGCACACCGATCAACAAACCATTTGTGCACGGGGGCATTGTCATGCTGAAACAGGAAAGGGCCTTCCCAAACGGTTGCCACAAAGTTGGAAGCACAGAATCGTCTAGAATGTCATTGTATGCTGTAGTGCTAAAATTTCCCTTCACTGGAACTAAGGGGCCTAGCCCGAACCATGAAAAACAGCCCCAGACCATTATTCCTTCTCCGCCAAACTTTACAGTTGGCACTATGCATTGGGGCAGGTAGCGTTCTCCTGGCATCCGCCAAACCCAGATTTGTCCGTCGGACTGCCAGATAGTGAAGCGTGATTCATCACTACAGAGAACGTTTCCAAAGTTCAATGGCAGCGAGCTTTACACCACACCAGCCGACACTTGGCATTGCGCATGGTGATCTTAGGCTTGTGTGCAGCTGCTCAGCCATGGAAACCTATTTCATGAAGTTCACGACGAACAGTTCTTGTGCTGACGTTGCTTCCAGAGGCAGTTTGGAACTCTGTAGTGAGTGTTGCAACCTAGGACAGACAATTGTTACGTGCTATGCTCTTCAGCACTTCCTTTCTGTGAGCTTGTGTGGCGTACCACTTCGCGGCTGAGCCGTCGCTGCTCCTAGACGTTTCCACTTCACAATAACAGCACTTACAGTTGACCGGGCCAGCTTTAGCAGGGCAGAAATTTGACAACCTGACTTGTTGGAAAGGTGGCATTCTATGACGGTGCCACATTGAAAATCACTGAGCTCTTCAGTAAGGCCATTCTACTAACAATGTTTGTCTATGGAGATTGCATGGCGGTGTGCTCAAATTTATACACCTGTCAACAACGGGTGCGGCTGAAATAGTCAGATCGACTCATTTGAAGGGGTGTCCACATACTGTAGTGTATGTCAGTGCACAGAGGCTTTAAAAGGCCCAGTTTTAGAATAAATAATGGAGTGGTCTCTTCCCATGACCTTGATATTATTAGTGAAGACAGATAGACAGGTGCTGAGGCTGAGTAGGGTGGAGGTGGGGGAGGAAGGGGAGAGACAGTGGGTCTGAGAGTGAGTAGGGTGGAGGTGGGGGAGGAAGGTGAGAGAGGAGGCTGAGGCTGAGTAAGGTGGAGGATGAGGTAAGTCTCAGGGGAGGTCTGACTCTCCTCACTCACTCAGAGCAGAGGCCATTCAGCCAGACTGCAGGCTGAGCGATGAAGAGATGGAGGCTTTAAAAGGGAGAGGAGCAGCACAGCTCATTCCGGTCTCAGTCCCCTCCAATGAGGACCTTTTCCATTCCGTTAATGTCCTGCTGCTGAGCCAGTAAGGAGTTGCAGTGAATCAAATTCACATTCAGCCCCCATTTTCAGCAGTAGCCTATCTTTACAAAGGCAGATTGTAAAGATAGTAGCCTTCAAATAAGATCTCTCTGCCCCATGGAGATAGTAGAGGACACAGAGCCCTTTTCACTGTCAAGATGAAGTACTCAGTTAAAGTAAGAGTAGGGGAGATATCACTCAAAATAAGGCTAATATTAGTGTCTGTATCATAACACTGCCTTTAGTAGGTGAATAAAATATCATAAAATCCTTGAGAATACATACATAGTCAAAGAGGATGGTGGGGTTGCTATGGCTCAGCTTGCCAATCTGGCGCCCAGATGGTTTCACATTCTCTTTGGTCAATCGCCTGGGAAAAGGAAAGGAAGAAAGAGAGAGAAAAGAGAGCAATTTATTAAATCTATTGAAGCATCTTGCAGCCAATACATTTAACCCTGTCAATTACCCTCACCTTGAGTTGTGTCTGAAGGCCACTAGCGACAGAACCCACAATAATAAATGTTCTACTTCTGCCACAGCAACGAGTTAGCATATTAGCCTTGTCGAAATTCATGAATGTAAAACAGCCGAACTGATGTTAGCAATGCTTCTCAGCAAGCCGAAACTTCCTCAAAGATACTTCAAACTAGGTTTGATAGCGTCGATGCGCGGGAAGAACCTGTCCATGTTTTCTTCTAGTGATAGGGGGGGGGGGGGGGGGAGACGACAGTTACATATTGGGATATTATTTTTGACAATATATTGTATCATTTTGACAATATCGCAACATCATTTTTGCGCTAGATGGCTGTACCTGCACCAAAACTCTTCATAGCTTGATCTCCATCTCCTTTTTAAAATAGGGAGCCAATTTGTTTTCAGCACTTTTATTTCCATGACTGATCAAAACGTATTGCTTTTCTCATTACTCTCTCTTGTCCCTCTGCAGCAGACATATGGTTAGCAATATGTTTGGAACATTGAAACGTAATTAAAATCACAGTATCAAATCACAATACATATAGAATCGTGAGAAACGCAATACATATCGTATCGGCACCTAAGTATCGTGATATCGTACAGTGAGGTCCCTGGCAATTCCCAGCCCTATTTTCTTCTCAGCGAGAACGTGGTTATTTTTGCAGTAACATCCAAATATCCTAATGCTCTGATAGTGCCATCATGCCACCAATTAGTTTGTTCACATCTGGTAATCAATCCGCGCAGTGCCCAATGGAATACAATACAACTTTATTGTCCGTGTTACAGCAAACCACTGAAACTGATGTGGCTGTGAGACTACATGGGGAAATAGTTCCAGTTTTGAGTGACAATAATAATAAAGCCATTTAGCAGATGCTTTTATCCAAAATGACTTACAGTCTACAATTCTACGATTATTTCAGTAGTATGCGCGTTCAAATCCAGTGTTTTTGAGGAAGTTTGGCTTGCAGTGCAGCATTGCCAACATTGGTTTGGCTGTTTCATTCATTAATTTTGACTATGCTAATATGCTAACTCCTGGCTGTGGCGTAAAACATGGATTATTGTGGATTATGACCCTATGGACCTTCAGACACAATTCAAGGTACAGGTAATTCCACCGAAATATAGATTTCACCTGAACTATGCCTTTAAATAATGTATACTTTGTGCCCTAAATGTAAGAACCTACAGCTCACCCGACAGACAGAGACATATTGTGGTGTTAAGGAATGATAACGTCAATGTGTCGATGTTAGAATGCAGAGTGAAGCCTGGTGGTTCGACTGTCTGCTGTGTGCTTGTCTGTCAGTCTGTCTGTCTTAACCTGGTGGGTTACTATAGGGCTAATGTGTTTGCTCAAACTTCAACCTCCCCCAGCACAGCAGCAGCTCTCCATGGGAGGGAGGAAGAGGGGTGGTGATTTAGAAGTAGGTAGCTAAAGCACCACCATCACCAGGGACTCATTTCCCACTGTGGTTCTGCACAGTACACTGCACACGCATACATGATGCAGGCCAGGGGCCAGGCACGACACATTAACTTCCTTCTTATCGTGTGTGTTAGCCACCTTGGCTCAGCAGAGCTGTATCCATATCAAGAGGTATGGTTAATTATATCCAGGCAATGTTCCATTTACATAATTAATAAACACTGGACCGAAGGCACTGACATCCTTCAGCTAACTACAAGAGACTAAGATGCATACAGGGATGGGAAAGGGATGGACTGAATGAATAATCAAAATGTCTAATGGCCATTTTAATCATTCAGTGGCAGCAACTTAACAATGGTTTGTATTACATGAGGCTAGCAGCTGGTGAGAGGGTCAAGGTGCTATGAGAGCAGGCTTATGAAGCATGGTTGGAGTGCTGCTATGCTAGCCTCATAAAGCTGACATGGATGGGAGTAGTCCACTCGAGTACAATAGTGGAGCAATTTTCTATAATCCCCCCAGTGGAGGGAATAGTAGCTGTTCATTTTCACTCCACCTCTCCCTGCCTTCCACTGCACCAGAGCTGCAGGATCTCAGCCTTGCAGCACCACTTTATCCATTAGTCTCCCCTCCCACACACACACACTTGGAGAGCCCTCACCACTTTTATTCTCCCTCATACATACTGAACTGTCCCATCCCCCATCAGACAGATCGATGCATGCTGATGTGGTTATATCCCAGCCCCCAAAGACACCACCAGCACCACTTAGGGGGGTTAGGGTAGGAAACAAACCATGGCTTCCCTGAGTGTCTGCTCTGTCATATATTATCACACAGCCCTGGGGTGCTCGCTCTGTGTATGTGTGTGGTGGCAATGATGGGAATACTCCAATGTCCACTGGTACCCTACAGGGAGCAGGGAAAGGCCTCAGGCACAAACATTGCATAAACATGTACTTCCACACATGTATCATACAGCACTAATGTGAAAAGCAGTAAATATGAGATACAGTTGAAGTCGGAAGTTTACATACACTCAATTAGTATTCGGTAACATTGCCTTTAAAAAATTTAACTTGGGTCAAACGTTTTGGGTAGCCTTCCACAAGCTTCCCACAATAAGTTGGGTGAATTTTGGCCCATTCCTCCTGACAGAGCTGGTGTAACTGAGTCAGGTTTGCAGGCCTCCTTGCTCGCACACGCCTTTTCAGTTCTGCCCACATATTTTCTATAGGATGAGGTCAGGGCTTTGTGATGGCCACTCCAATACCTTGACTTTGTTATCCTTAAGCCATTTTGCCACAACTTTGGAAGTATGCTTGGGGTAATTGTCCATTTGGAAGACCCATTTGCGACCAAGCTTTAACTTCCTGACTGAGATGTTGCTTCAATATATCCACATAATTTTCCTTCCTCATGATGCCATCTATTTTGTGAAGTGCACCAGTCCCTCCTGCAGCAAAGCATGATGCTGCCACCCCCGTGCTTCATGGTTGGGATGGTGTTCTTCGGCTTGCAAGCTTTCCCCTTTTTCCTCCAAACATAACGATGGTCATTATGGCCAAACAGTTATATTTTTGTTTCATCAGACCAGAGGACGTTTCTCCAAAAAGTACGATCTTTGTCCCCATGTGCAGTTGCAAACCGTAGTCTGACTTTTTAATGGCGGTTTTGGAGCAGTGGCTTCTTCCTTGCTGAGCGTCCTTTCAGGTTATGTCGATATAGTACTCGTTTTACTGTGGATATAGATACCTTTGTACCCGTTTCCTCCAGCATCTTCACAAGGTCCTTTGCTGTTGTTCTGGGATTGATTTGCACTTTTCACACCAAAGTATGTTCATCTCTAGGAGACAGAACGCGTCTCCTTCCTGAGCGGTATGACGGCTGCGTGGTCCCATGGTGTTTATACTTGCGTACTATTGTTGGTACAGATGAACGTGGTACCTTCAGGCGTTTGGAAATTGCTCCCAAGGATGAAGCAGACTTGTGGAGGTCTACAATTATTTTTCTGAGGTCTTGGCTGATTTATTTAGATTTTCCCATGATGTCAAGCAAAGAGGCAGTGAGTTTGAAGGTAGGCCTTGAAATATATCCACAGGTACACCTCCAATTGACTCAAATTATGTCAATTAGCCTATCAGAAGTTTCTAAAGCCATGACATCATTTTCTGGAATTTTCCAAGCTGTTTAAAGGCACAGTCAACTTAGTGTATGTAAACTTTTGACCCACTGGAATTGTGATACCGTGAATTATAAGTGAAATAATCTGTCTGTAAACAATTGTTGGAAAAATTACTTGTGTCATGCACAAAGTAGATGTCCTAACCGACTTGGCAAAACTATAGTTTGTTAACAAGAAATTTGTGGGGTGGTTGAAAAACGAGTTTTAATGACTCCAACCTAAGTGTATGTAAACTTACGACTTCAACTGTATCCCAACCGGAAGCCATGGATTACAGGCAACATCCGCATCGTGCTAAAGACTAGAGCTGCTGCTTTCAAGGAGCAGGACACTAATCCGGACGCTCATAAGAAATCCCGCTACGCCCTCAGATGAACCATCAAACAGGCAAAGCGTCAATACAGGATTAAGATTAAATCCTACTACATCGGCTCTGACGCTCGTCGGATGTGGCAGGGCTTGAAAACTATTACGGACTACAAAGGGAAACCCAGCCGCGAGCTGCCCAGTGACGCGAGCCTACCAGACGAGGTACATGCCTTTTATGCTCACTTCGAGGCAAGTAACACTGAAGCATTCATGAGAGCACCATGTGTGATCACGCTCTTGGTAGCCGATGTGAGCAAGACCTTTAAACAGGTCAACATTCACAAAGCCGCGGGGCCAGACAGATTACCAGGATGTCTACTCAAAGCATGTGCGGACCAACTGGCAAGTGTCTTCACTGACATTTTCAACCTCTCGCTGACCGAGTCCGTAATACCTACATGTTTCAAGCAGACCACCATAGTCCCTGTGCCCAAGGAAGCGAAGGTAACCTGGCTAAATGATTACCGCCAGTAGCACTCACGTCGGTAGCCATGAAGTGCTTTGAAAGGCTGGTCATGGCTCACATCAGCACCATCATCCCGGAAACCCTACACCCACTCCAATTCGCATACCACCCCAAAAGATCAACAGATGACGCAATCTCAAATCGCACTCCACACTGCCCTTTCCCACCTGGACAAAAGGAACACCTACAGTGAGGGAAAAAAATATTTGATCCCCTGCTGATTTTGTACGTTTGCCCACTGACAAAGACATGATCAGTCTATCATTTTAATGGTAGGTTTATTTGAACAGTGAGAGACAGAATAAGAACAAAAAAATCCAGAAAAATGCATGTCAAAAATGTTATAAATTGATTTGCATTTTAATGAGGGAAATAAGTATTTGACCCCTCTGCAAAACATGACTTAGTACTTGGTGGCAAAACCCTTGTTG